GTGGAACCTATTGGAGACTCCACTCACCTGATCTCCCCCTTCCTTGTTATGGTGCAGAACCTGCAGCGGGGCATGCCATGAGATCGGGCCTGGAGGTACACTAGGGGCTTTGGCAGTTGGGCATTTTATCCCCTCTCGCCTTTCCCTTCTCTTTCCCTCTTCTCTTTTTACTTCAACTTCCCTGTTTTTCTTTGTTCTTTTTGTTAATACAGGGCCTGTGTTTTGCACAGCCATCTACCCGCTGATAGTTCACTGTAGTTCCTGCATGGCTGTGACTGAAACCTGCTTACCAGAGGTCAGATCAACTGCCTCCTAGAGCTAATGGTTGCATAGGGTAGGTTCTGTTGAATGTAAATGTCAAGCTTGGTCCTTCCCCTATTGCCTCTGAAGCCTCCCGAGGTATCATTTAATGTGGTGGGAGGAAGGTCCTGGAGATTGTCAGAATTTACAGGAGAATTCAAGATTTCCTTAAAAACTTTACTGCCTTTATCACTGGATTTCTTAATCATTTTGAGATGCAGTTTTCACTGAAGGTAAGCCCTGCTTATGCATTTTGTCATCATATTCTGTGTTTTGATTGCCCAGACCTGTGACAAGTTTACTTTAAAAATATGTAGTTCATATTATGTTGATTTTATTTTGTCTTTCAATTTTCCATTAGTCTCTCTCGTTTTATTCTGATGGCATTTACTTGGCAATTAAACCTTAAAGTGGAAATCCACTGAAAACCTACCTACTCTTAAAAATGCTCCCTCACCCTCCTTACAGGGACTAACCTGACTAACCTGTGTAAGAAAGATCTGTATTCTTACCCATTTTCAGTCACGTAACCGACTGTGTCAGCCAGTACTGGCTACAGGGGAGAGGAGAGAGTGCTTGACAATGGCTAACAGTGCTTTGGGGCAATGATGTCACCCATAGGCTACCATGACTCATTGTTATTGGCACTCCCTTCACTGGCTGCTGCAGGGGAGCCAGAACATGTGACTGGACTAAAGTGACCTAAAACAGGTAATTATAATCATCTTAATTACCAAGGATAATCAAAATAGGTGTTAGGAGTGGGGTGGGAGCATTTTTAAGAGTGATTAGGTTTTACATGGAATTCTACTTTATTTTTGAAATGAACAAAGTGTTTTTTTATTGTTGCAATCATAAAGCTGGTCACAGACACATTACAGCATTTGGACTTTCAGAAGCTCTGTGACAACTGAAAGGTCTCTTATCTTCTCAGACACCTGCAGGGTTGCAGCTTTAATCTTGTGGTTTGAAAATGTCCAACCTATCTGGTTTCTTTTTCACCAGTAGAGATCATTTAGAAATATCTGTAGTACTCTATGTGCCCCCTAGACAGCCAATATTGATGACACGACAAGTGTTGCCCAAGCGCCATCTGCTCCTTTAGGACAGTGTATATATTTTGCACAACCAATTAAATAATATGACTGTTGAATCACATTAATTCAGTCTTGCGGAGTTCCATCTTTCTTTTGACAACCACCTACTCCTCGTCAAATCAGCTATGAGCTGTGTAACTAAATGGCAAGCGTTGCATTGTGATTGAGATGACAGTTCAGTATCTTTGAATGATAAGGTTAGTTTATCATAAATAAAGCAAGCATGAGGAATGATTTTGAAAAATGATTGCTTCAGGAAAAATCGTGTGCAAGACAGAGGCAAAGTCTTAAAATAAAAGAAGCAAGCAAAAATAAAAGTGCTGCTCTTAGGCCATATAAATCCTCCAAAGATTTTGCTGTACTTTGCAGCCAAGTCTATTAGTCCCACTGGCAGTGATGAAACGCTGATGTACTGCTCTGGCTGTTAGCCATTTAAAAGTGATACACCCACAGTAGTATTGGAGAGTCACAGCAAGTGAGCACAATGGGTGTGTGCACTGAATAATAAACATGGTTACAAATGTAACTGTTGTAGTTACTAGAAAATAAAAACTGATAACAGAGATCAATTTGAACCTAGAACTGCTGTGAAGGTTTTCAAAGCTAGCAAAGAAGTCTATATACTAATAATCAAAATAAGTTGCTACAATTGAGTACTGTCTGTGATTCTTTTTTTACTTGCACTAATAGACAATTTTTCAGGACGAACATTTGGGGTATGTCCTCTTCATCAAAAAAGTATCATGGACAGTACTCAATTTATTCTCTTCTGAGAAGAGGAGATTAAGGAGGGATATGATCAACATGTATAAAAACATAAGAGGTTCATATAGTGAACTCAGTGTAGAGTTATTCACCTTGAGGTCTTCCCGGAGGACAAGGGGGCACTCTTTACTTCTGGAGGAAAAGACATTTAATCTCCAAATATGGAAAGGTTTCTTCCAAGTAAGAGCGGTGAAAATGTAGAATAGACTCCCTCAAGAGTTGGTTCTGGCCAGCTCAGTAGATTGCTTTAAAAAAGGCCTGGATGCTTTTCTAGATACAGTACACATAATATAACTGGATACTAACATTTATAGCTATAGCTGATCCAGGGAATATCCGATTGCCTCTCCGAGGATCAGGAAGGAATTTTTTCCCTTGTAGGAGCAAACTGAATCTTGCTTTGGTGGGATTTTTTGCTTTCCTCTGGATCAACTGAGTATAGGATATAATGTTTTTCCCCTTTTATGGTTGAACTAGATGGACTTGTTTTAAATTCAGCCATACTAACTATGTAACTAAGCGCACTAATATAGCTACAATCACCTCAAACCTGTTGCTACAGAAAGGCTTCTACTGCTATGTCACAAAGTCTCATGCCATGCATGGTAGAGACCACTACCAGCAGCCATATACAGTGGGGCAAAAAAGTATTTAGTCAGCCACCAATTGTGCAAGTTCTCCCACTTAAAAAGATGAGAGAGGCCTGTAATTAACATCATAGGTAGACCTCAACTATGAGGGACAAAATGAGAAAACAAATCCAGACAATCACATTGGCTGATTTGGAAAGAATTTATTTGCAAATTATGGTGGAAAATAAGTATTTGGTCACCTACAAAGAAGCAAGATTTCTGGCTCTCACAGACCTGTACCTTCTTCTTTAAGAGGCTTCTCTGTCCTGCACTCATTACCTGTATCAATGGCACCTGTTTGAACTTGTTATCAGTATAAAAGACACCTGTCCACAACCTCAAACATTCACACTCCAAACTCCACTACGGTGAAGACTAAAGAGCTGTCGAAGGACACCAGAAACAAAATTGTAGACCTGCACCAGGCTGGGAAGACTGAATCTGCAATAGGCAAGCAGCTTGGTGTGAACAAATCAACTGTGGGAGCAATAACTAGAAAATGGAAGACATACAAGACCACTGATAATCTCCCTCGATCTTGGGGCTCCACGCAATATCTCACCCCGTGGGGTCAAAATGATCACAAGAACGGTGAGCAAAAATCCCAGGACCACACGGGGGGACATATTGAATGACCTGATGCTGCAGGGAGCTGGGACCAACGTAACAAAGGCTACCGTCAGTAAACACACTACGCTGCCAGGGACTCAGATCCTGCAGTGCCAGACGTGTCCCCCTGCTTAAGCCAGTACATGTCCGGGCCCATCTGAAGTTTGCTAGAGAGCATTTGGATGATCCAGAAGAGGATTGGGAGAATGTCATATGGTCAGATGAAACCAAAATAGAACTGTTTGGTAGAAACACAATTCGTCATGTTTGGAGGAGAGAGAATGCTGAATTGCATCCAAAGAACACGATACCTACTGTGAAGCATGGGGGTGGCAACATCATGCTTTGGGGCTGTTTCTCCGCAAAGGGACCAGGACGACTGATCCATGTACAGGACAGAATGAATGGGGCCATGTATCGTGAGATTTTGAGTGCAAACCACCTTCCATCAGCAAGGGCATTGAAGATGAAACATGGCTGGGTCTTCCAACACGACAATGATCCCAAACATACCACCCGGGCAACGAAGGAGTGGCTTCGTAAGAAGCATTTCAAGGTCCTGGAGTGGCCTAGCCAGTCTCCAGATCTCAACCCTATAGAAAACCTTTGGAGGGAGTTGAAAGTCCGTGTTGCCCAGCGACAGCCCCAAAACATCACTGCTCTAGAGGAGATCTGCATGGATAATGGGCCAACATACCAGCAACAGTGTGTGCCAACCTTGTGAAGACTTACAGGAAACGTTTGACCTCTGTCATTGCCAACAAAGGATATATAACAAAGTATTGAGATGAACTTTTGATATTGACCAAATACTTATTTTCCACCATAATTTGCAAATAAATTCTTTCCAAATCAGCCAATGTGATTGTCTGGATTTGTTTTCTCATTTTGTCTCTCATAGTTGAGGTCTATCTATGATGCCATTTACAGGCCTCTCTCATCTTTTTAAGTGGGAGAACTTGCACAATTGGTGGCTGACTAAATACTTTTTTGCCCCACTGTATTTATACAATGGAAACAGTGTAATTATTCCCAAGCTGGTTTTACACTGTTAAGTACTGGGATTGCAATATTTATTCATTCTGTATAAGTATTCAATGTCAGCTGATCAATCAGAACCTTTTTACAGTGGATGTAACCCAGGGGACCAGCATCACTGCAGTGTTTGCATCAAAACATGATTTCAACTTATTCTAACTAGTAAAAAAGTGTCCCTGTTGTACAAGAAAGCCAAATTCCATTTGGCAGCTAAAGCCCACATGTCATTTCTAATCCAAGTGGATTAAAAAAGCACACCTGGATTCTGACCTGTAGCTATAAGCAACATTTGTTTTCCTTAGTTTTCTCTACATCATGCTTTAATGCAAAGTGAAGCCAAAAGACCTCTCTAAATGAGGTTGTAATAGTTGATCTTTCCCATCTAAATATTTACTGTAATATTATTATTAGAATACAAGAATTCCTCATTTATATTGCAATGACAAGACTTGTAGAGGCAAAAACCAAGAAAATGAATGACAGGAGGCCCCGTGTGTCTGTAGAAGAAATTATGATCATGCAAAAGTCAGAAAAAAAAAGAGTATCACCTTTAGGTCCATTAGAAAGTTATATTGCCTGTGGTCTGAGAAAGCATAAAGATGGTGGACTGCTCAACAGAAAGGCACGGTTGTTTAGTCTGTAAGTTCCCCAGAAGGTGGCAGCAGATGCCCACGTGCAATGTGTAAGCAAGGCAGCAGTTATTTATGCAAAGCAAGTAGAAGACAGTAAAGGGAAGAGAAGGAAGGAGAAAGAAACACAAGGGATACATTTTATTAAACACTAAAGCATTGCTAATGCAATATTAGTGAAGTACAAAGAGAAAAGCTCAAAAGGTGTGTGGGTACCTTCTACTTCCAAATCTGTCACATGGGAGGCGAGATGATCGTGTTGTAAAGCTAGTGGAGATGCTGCTGAAATTACTTTTACTTTTTTTTTTAAGGGTGACAATACATTTAGGGTCTTCTGCACATTGTAATGTATGAATGCCAGGTCTTTCTGGCAGAAAGATCATATGCAAGACACGCGAGTATGGTCCATAGAGTGCACATGTTTACACGCAAAACATGTGCAGTGAACACATTTTTCTTTGCTCCAAGAATACCAAAAATACTGAAATAATAAAATCTACTATTCAAGCAAGGGGGGAGGTGTGGTTTACTTGCATATTCTTATGTAAAATAATGAATATATTTTTTTAGTGATCTAAATGCGCTACTAGTTTACTAATATTTATGTACCTGTGTGTACAGGCTCATTGAAAGCAAAAAAAAAAGCCTGAACACCTAAAAACAAGGCATTTTTGGTACCCATGTGCAAGAGCCCTAATACTGCAGGAAAGCCACCTCCTTCATCAAAAAAGTTAGCTCATATACTGACCTCAGACTGCCCTGTTGCCTGTCCTGTGCAGCACTAGGGATCGTTTTTTGCAGCAGTTGCATCTGCTGTGCTCAGCTAATAAAATGAGTAGAAGACATCTTTTAATGGATAGACAATGTCTGAGCAGGCCAGGCAGTACAAGAGGGAAAACAGGGGTACCTGAGGTCAGAAGGTGTACTTACTTTTTTCATTTGAAGGCATTCTTGGAATATTATTTAAAGTGGAGTTTTTCTTTCAGTTCACACTGCAAAATCAGCAATTTTGTTTTAAATCGAGCAGCGTTTATTGTGCACAAAGTTAGATTCCTCAGCATTCTGTGTGCTTGGGTGATACAGGGAATTGGTCAACATGTTTCACCCAAAATACATTTAAAGGGGGTTATTTACCAAAACTGCATGGTGCAAAATCGGGTGCAGTTCTGCATAGAAACCAATCAGCTTCTAGGTTTTATTGTCAAAATGTATTTGAACAAGCTGGCTTCCATGCACAGCTGCATCATATTCTGAGTGCACCAGCTTTAGGAAATCTTCCGAAATATTTTATTAATTAAACTGGACACTAAAATAGAACGCATGTTACTTTAAAAATCTCTGCATGTCTAACCATTGTCATTTGTGGTTTAAAATCTAAATATCTTTTTATCTTATGTTTGCAGAAATAATGTACAGAAGTATAGAAAACATTCGTATGTATGTCTTCCACATATTATTACATTTTAATTGATATTCAAAAAAACCTGTGCAAAGAACATAGTTAAGGTGCAGTAACCCACAGCAGGTAATCAGGTGTTATGCTACTAAAGTCAGGCTCAAATCTGATTGGATGTCGTAATTTAGACAGTATTATCTTCCTTGCGGAAATATCTTTACAAGTTTTAAAAAAATAAATTACACCTGTTTGCATTAAAATATCTTGATATCTGTGAAATATGATCATTTCATACTTGTGCACACAACTCACTTTTTGAGCTTTTTTCTCTAACAGAGTATTAGTTACAAATCACATAATGATGCTTCTTCACATAGAGAACATAAAAGCTAAAAGCAAATAACATAGTACCTGCATACTGACTAGCTAGCACTTAATACATATTCAGCAAGAATGACTGTTAGCTTACATACTGCAGGTGTATAGAATTCTATATATAATATAGACACACAACACTGGAGAAAAGCAAGTAGAATTATATGCTAATGCTTAGTAAAATAAAAGCAACATTGTACCGAATTTGGTAATCTGCTGCCATGTTTTAAGGCAATTGCAGTAATTATTAGTGACAATAATACAGATTTCTTAGTTCATCTGTAATGTTAAATGAATAGGCTTGAGCTATTGTATAGTACAAAAACAATGATTATGTGCAAAGTGCAGTAAAACATAGCAAATAAACAGAAATCACCTTTACCTAACCTGACTACCAGTGATTCAGTTACAGGTTACTAAATGCATTTAATAGGATTCACTTAATGCTTGCCAATTTTATGATGTGATAGGTATGTACACGTGTAGGTCACACCAATCATTCAGGTACTGACACTCATTTTCTAACCTATGCTAGAAACATGACAGAATGCATGTCAAGGACATATACATTTGTTTCCTCGCAATCAAAGATGATTTTTAATTTATTGCTAATTTATTGCACTTTGAACATTATCTAATGCCTTCTCGGAAAGGAAAAGTGAAGCAAAACACAGTACTTGCTGACAGGTCCACAATAAAAACCTATGTAAATGGCTGTTGTTGCCACAGCTGAGGTTCAAATCCAGGTTGCCACTGTCCAGTTCCTGAAAGCAGGGTCAGTTCCAAAGCTGTGCACACCCCGATATGCCTGCCCTATAATTAGCTTGGCTTCCAGAAGTCAGGCAACGGCAACCTTCTACAATAAACCATCATTGTGACAAATAGCCACCATCATGTCAGGTTCCCTTTAATCAATAGAAAAAAAAAACCCCATATATATAATGAATATATTAACAATGTTATATTAATTAATATGCAACAAAATGGGTAATAAAATGAAAGCTTTACTTTCGACCACAGCATCGTTCACCGTTTTTATAGTTGATTAATATATTATTTCTCCATTGCATCTACCTGCATGAGAGAGTGTGTTAGAAGAATGTGTGCAAGAGCGTTATTGTTTACCTGTATCTTTTCTGTGGCCGTGGGCCATAACAGCCTGCATATAACCTTCTTCAGAACGTCTGGGAGGAGACTGACCGTAACGAGGAGTATAATGCCCAGCCATGCAGGGCCACTGGACAGCATTTGCATAAACACATAATACATCCTCTGATAATTGAGGAATGGCCTAGAACAATAAAAAAGGCACATTATACTACAAAATGTTCTAAGTTAGAATAAAACAAAAACTGATACAATGGGTGTTTTGCTATAACATGAATATTAAACTGTAAGCAATGCAATTCATTGAAGACAGAAGACCAGCAAGATCTCTCGGGGCTCCCATAGCCCACGTCATGTATCAGTTGCTGGCAGTAGATTCTCTGACATTGATCAATGTGACAGGTCAGTGCTTATTAAAATGTAAACAAAATGGATACATTGTAGTTAGTGGCAGCTGTCAGATACACCTAATCATTTTTTTTTCTCTTACATAGGAGTTGATGCAACAGATCTGACTGTGGAAAAAAAGGTTTTACTTATTCATTAAAGAAATAGGAAAACCATTTAACTCCCAATTAATCCTTTTTATCCCTAGCTAGTCTTAAGTAACATACTCTCCCTGTTGTACATGCTTTGTAATGGAAGCAGCATGACAGTGTCATGATAGAGACAAATAAAAAAAATAGTACTTAAGTATGTTTTCATAATGCACACACTCATTGCCATGCATGCTGGCAAATCTGTGAAATCTTTTGCATTATCCATATTTCATGTTTAATAATAATAAAAAAGACCTTGCTTAGTTTGTTGTTTAGCATTAGTGAGATGACCATTTGCTAGCATTCGAGGGAAGTGCTTTGATAATTCCCTAAACTTGAGAACAAGAAGTGCTCTCTTTTTTTTCTATGCTAGAAGCTGGGCATGTAATAAGGCAGTTCTAGGTTGAAGCCATTTGTTTACTTGCTTTAAAGATATAGCTTTCAACAAATGAAAAGAGAGAGAACACTGGACAGGGCTAGGAGAAGCCACAGTGTTGTGCCAATCAGGGGCGTATTTACCACAATGCAAACAAGGCATTTGCCTAGGCCAGCATTTTTCAGGGGGGCAACAGCATCTTTCAGGGGGCAGAGGCATTTTTCAGGGGGGCAATGCCACCCCCAAAAGAAGGGATGGGAGAAGGGACACACGCAGCATGGGAACCAGGTGGGATCTGAGAGAGGCTGCGGGCTGCTTGATGGTGCATGCAGAGCCTGACTCTCATTCCCAGGGATGTCCAGAGATGTGAAGGTGAGTGTCTTCTCTCTCGCAGGGTCGGGGGGGGGGGGTTGCCAGTGTATGGAGGAAGGTGGTAGTAGAAGGCTCTCTCGGGTGGGGGGTGGAGGCTGGGGTGTTGCTCAATGTCAGGCTCTCTTCATGGGAGAGGGGGTGCTGGTTGGTGTCAAAGGTCTCCGTGGGGAGGCAATTGTTGGGTTGCCTAGGGCAGCACGAAACCTAACTACCACTGGTGCCAATGCAATTTAGAACATACGACGACAATATATTTTATATGTGTGTGTAATGACACACTAAGCATGTGTTGGGGAAAAGCCTTTGACCTCTGGGCTGTGAATCTTGTAGAGCTGAAGCAAATAAGTCATAAAGAACCCCAGGTTCTGCACTGGGCCTGCACAGCAGTTGAGAGGACTTCTGGAATTGCCAAAAAGCACATAAGGCACTGACAACTGGCACTACAATGACTAGGGTTAACCCTTTTACAACTGCCCAAACATATATACAGTCATGGCCGAAATTGTTGGCACCCTTGATATTTTTCCTGAAAATCAAGTATTTCACACAAAAAAGGTATTGCATTAACACATGTTTTGCTATACACATGTTTATTCCCTTTGTATGTATTGGAACAAATATAAAACAGAGGCAGAAAAGCAAATATGACATAATGTCACACAAAAACCCAAAAATGGGCTGGACAAAAGTATTGGCACCCTTAACTTAATATTTGGTTGCACACCCTTTGGAAAACATAACTGAAATCAGTCGCTTCCTATAACCATCAATAAGCTTCTGACACCTCTCACCCGGAATTTTGGACCACTCTTCCTTTGCAAACAGCTCCAGGTCTCTCTTATTGGAAGGACACCTTTTCCCAACAGCAATTTTAAGATCTCTCCACAGGTGTTCAATGGGATTTAGATCTGGGCTCATTGCTGGCCACTTCAGAACTCTCCAGCGCTTCTTTGCCATCCATTTCTGAGTGCTTTTTGACGTATGTTTGGGGTCATTGTCCTGCTGGAAGACCCAGGATCTTGGACGCAAACCCAGCTTTCTGACACTGGGCCCTACAGTGCGACCCAAAATCCTTTGGTAATCCTCAGATTTCATGATGCCTTGCACACAGTCAAGGCACCCAGTGCCAGAGGCAGCAAAACAACCCCAAAACATCATTGAACCTCCACCATATTTTACCGTAGGTACTGTGTTTTGTTCTTTGTAGGCCTCATTCCGTTTTCGGTAAACAGTAGAATGATGTGCTTTACCGAAAAGCTCTATCTTGGTCTCATCTGTCCACAAGACGTTTTCCCAGAAGGCTTTTGGCTTACTCAAGTACATTTTGGCAAACTGTAGTCTTGCTTTTTTATGTCTCTGTGTCAGCAGTGGGGTCCTCCTGGGTCTCCTGCCATAGCGTTTCATTTCATTTAAATGTCGACGGATAGTTCGCGCTGACACTGATGCTCCCTGAGCCTGCAGGACAGCTTGAATGTCTTTGGAACATGTTTGGGGCTGCTTTATCCACCATCCGGACTATTCTGCGTTGCAATCTTTCATCAATTTTCCTCATCCGTCCACGACCAGGGAGATTAGCTACAGTGCCATGGGTTGCAAACTTCTTGATAATGTTGCGCACTGTGGACAAAGGCAAATCTAGTTCTCTGGAGATGGACTTGTAACCTTGAGATTGTTGATATTTTGCCACAATTTTGGTTCTCAGGTCCTCAGACAGTTCTCGTCTCTCTCTTTCTGTTGTCCATGCTTAGTGTGGCACAGACAGACACACAATGCAAAGGTTAAGTGAACGTCTCTCCTTTTTATCTGCTTTCAGGTGTGATTTCTATATTGCCCACACCTGTTACTTGCCCCAGGTGAGTTTACAGGAGCATCACATGCTTGTAACATTCTTATTTATCCGCAGTTGTGTGAAAGGGTGCCAATACTTTTGTCCAGCCCATTTTTGGAGGTTTGTGTGACATTATGTCGAATTTGCTTTCTTTCCTCCCTTTTTTTGTTTTGTCCCAATACACACAAAGGGAATAAACATGTGTATAGCAAAACATGTGTTAATGCAATACGTTTCGTGAGAAATACATGATTTCCTGGAGAAATATCAAGGGTGCCAACAATTTCGGCCATGACTGTATAAGGCAACAAGGGGAGTTTTATGCCCATACGCCTCACACACCCATCCCAGCACAAAGTCTAAGCTGTCAAAAAAAAAGCTCTTGCTCTGGACTAAAGATCAGTAGCTGGTGTGACAGTGGTCATGATTGCCAATCCTGCTGCCACCCAGACATTAAGTATTGTTTAAAGGTACAATGGAGTGGGTGGGAAGGGGGTTAAACAAAATTAAGTATATCTTATGCTCACATTCTGTCTCTTTTTCTTAAAGTTTAGGAAAAAAAAAAATTATATATATATATATATTATATATATTATATATATATATACACATATATATATATACATATATATATACATACACACACTCACACACTGCTCAAACAACTTAAAAGGAACACTTTTTAATCAGAGTATAACATCAAGTCTGGTATCTGCTCCTTTGTGCAAGGAGGAACATGATGAGCACTGGCAGAGCCCTACTGCTGCTGTTCCCAGTTGCTTTCACTTTGGTATAATACCACTAACAGTTGACCGTGGAATATTTAGTAGCAAGGAAATTTCACAGATGGACTTATTGCACAGGTGGCAACCTATCACGGTACCACGCTTGATTTCACTGAGCTCCCGAGAGTGACCCATTCTTTCACAAATGTTTGTAGAAGCAGTCTGCATGCCTAGGTGCTTGCTTTTATACACCTGTGGTCTTGGAGGTGATTGGAACACCTGAACCCAATGATTTGGAGGGGTTTCCCAATACTTTTGGCAATATAGTGAATATATACACATACACACACACATACACACTGTCTTTTCCATGTTTTTCTTTGTGTGAACATATTTCATATAATTATTCTGCTACAGAACTTTACTAACATCCATAGTATTGTCATGGTATTAAAAGTAATAAAAATTACAAAGTATAAGTGATTAAAACAAAACATGTCTGTGTTGTCTAACTCTGTCAATTTTCTGGCACAGGATAAAAAAATTAATTAAAAAACATCTTGTTGTTATAGGCAACTTAACTGCTTGTTTTTCCAAAATGTACACCAATGTACCATTTATAACACAGTTTACAAGAGCAGGCTTGAAGCACTTGGTACACACAGCAGCTGGAAGTGTATGCAACACAACACCAGCTCCGAATAATAGGGTGGCATCCACAGCACAGTGAATGTTAATAATTTAACTATGCCTACCAGGCATTTTGTTCAAACCCAAACATCACATGTAGTTTTACTGCCAAATGGGCATCACACTAAATGTTCAGGAACCAATAAAATTCTGTAAAGCCTGAAGGCAGAATCCACTAAAAAATATGAACTGAGAGAAAAAAATTATTTAACGATAAGCTAGCTATTAAAAAAGGCGTAATAAAACAGAATGCTAGTTGTCCGTTTTGTAAAAAAAAATAAAAAGTTGACCAATCTACAATTGTAAAGGTTATTACAAATTAATTTGGACACCTGTAGAATCATTCCAAGAGCATCAGGAGCCCTTTAACCTGGGGCACTTTCTTATCCTATTACCTTGCTTTGGTTCTCCAGTGCGATAGGTGATCTTAAAGAGCCAAATCTAGTTGCCGGAGGCAGGGGAAAGCAGACCAGCATTTGACTTTTATATCAGAGTGCCATGGGCTCTGGAGCTCCTGAAAATGCCTGTATTTCATTAAGGCCTAATGCACACTGGCCTTTGGGATGGGTTTTGGATACACTCACAATGACTTGCATCAACGAATAAAAGCAAAGCACAAACGGGCCTAAAACTGACATTAACTGATCTCAAATGTTGCCCATGTCCATTTGCCATTTTAGGCAGTCTTAGATACTGCCGGTGGACTTAAAGGGCATTGACAATCTTTGGTATCCTCATATGAACTTGGTCAGTTTAATGTAAACTTCAACAATGGCTGTAAAAAAAAACATGTTTCTGATTGTAGTTTTTAATTCTATATTATCAAGGGACAGCAATATTTGCTTTTTGAACATGCATATTCTGTGTCTATCCATTCCTCTTAATGCAAGTCTATGAGTCTGCTCAGACACACTGAAAACAATGCAATGCAAGTGACATATCATAAATACTTTAAACTCAGAGGTCATTAATCCCATTGTTTAATCTTGGCATTAAAGAATGCCAATGACCTATCTAATCTACAAATAAACAACATAAGGAAATTTAGAAATGTGTGTGTGAAAAACAATCACATCTTTAATTATTTTCAGTTTAACGTTACAATGTTAAATTATATATGACCCCTTACCTTGTGAAAAAACCCAATCGGTTTAAAATACAAATGCAAGGCAAAACCTTTGCGTGTAGATGCACTGCTCAAAAAAATTAAAGGAACACTTTTTAATCCGGAGTATGGCATCAAGTCAATTAAACTCCTGGGATAATGATCTGGTCAGTTAAGTAGCAGAGGGGATTGTTAAACAATTTCAGCTGCTTTGGTGCTAATGAAATTAACAACAGGTGCACTAGATGGGCAACAATGAGATGACTCCCAAAACAGGAATGGTTTTACAGGTGGAGGCTACTCATCTTTTCTGACTGTTTTTCACTAGTTTTGCATTTGGCTGAGGTCAGTGTCACTACTGGTAGCATGAGTCAATACCTGGACCCTACAGAGGTTGCACAGGCAGTCCAACTCCTCCAGGATGGCACATCAATACGTGCCATTGCCAGAAGGTTTGCTGTGTCTCCCAGCACAGTCTCACGAGCATGGAGGAGATTCAAGGAGACAGGCAGTTACTGTAGGACAGCTGGACAGGGCCATAGAAGGTGTTTAACCCATCAGCAGGACCAGTATCTGCTCCTTAGTGCAAAAAGGAACAGGATGAGTACTGCCAGAGCCCTACAAAATGACCTCCAGCAGGCCACTGTTGTGTATGTCTCTGACCAAACAATCAGAAAAAGACTTCATGAGGGTGGCCTGATGGCCCGACATCCTCTGGTGGGCCCTGTGCTCACTGTCCAGCACCATAGAGCTCGATTGGCATTTGCCACTGAACACCAGAATTGGCAGGTCCACCACTGGCGCCCTGTGCTTTTCACAGATGAGAGCAGGTTCACCACGAGCACATGTGACAGACGTGAAAGGGTCTGGAGAAGCTGTGGAGAACATTATGCTGCCTGTTACATCATTCAGCATGACCATTTTGGTGGTGGGTCAGTGATGGTCTGGGGAGGCATATCCATGGAAGGATGCACAGACCTCTATAGGCTAGACAATGGCACCCTGACTGCCATTATGTATCGAAATGAAATCCTTGGACCCATTGTCAGACCCTACGCTGGTGCAGTGGGTCCTGGGTTCCTCCTGGTGAACGACAATGTTCAGCCTTATGTGGCGAGAGTATGCAGTCAGTTCTTGGAGGATGAAGGAATTGATACCATGGAATGTCCCCCACGCCTAAATCCAATAGAACACCTCTGGGATATCATGTTTTGGTCCATCCGATGCCGCCAGGTTACACCTCAGACTGCCCAGGAGCACAATGATGCCCTGATGTTGTCAGGCATGCATACAAGCACGTGGGGGCCATACAAACTACCATTTTGAGTTGCTGCAAAGAAAATTTAGCAAAATGCCTGCTGCATCATTTTTTCACTTTGATTTTCGGGGTGTCTGAATTCAGTCCTCTGTAGGTTGATCATTTTAATTTCCATCAAACAATGGGGCATCCCTATGTTCCTAACACATTACTCAGTCCATATCAGTATAGATATCCAGCATATTTTCCCCACTGAGATCTGATGTGTTTTCAAAGCCTTCCTTTTAATTGTTTTGAGCAGTGTATAAAAGAACACTATAAATGCAAGTGATCTATGTGTCCTGCTGCATAAGGAGCCTAAAAAATTGGGGTGCCAGAGGCATTTCAGCAGGAGGCAGAGAAACAGCAGTACATCGATCTTCCCAATGATTAGCTGTGTAGGGGGCCATATCAGCACAAGTCTGGTGAACAACCAAACAGAATGCAAAGAAGAAAAACGGACCATGCTGGGACGCATGTACTTCTATACCTAGTGTGGTTGATTAAAGAAGACGGTGATCTTGCCAGTCCCCCTGCATTCCTATTTCACACCAGTTAATTACAAGTGTAAGTGCAGAATGTGCCAACCTACAAAAAGTCACAGGATTTCTCCTCATATCACTTTTAGATTAGTCAGAAACTTTAAAGAAAGACAGACTGGATGAGCTTTGCTTATTGCCCTTTACCTTGTTTTATAACAATGAAGATATACCATGCACAGAACTTTATTTAAACATATTGCTGTGTGTAATGCTGACAAAGAAAATGGCAAAAGGGACACTTACCAGACAATCCCTCCCCATAGCAATGAAAAGACAATATAGAATACAAGTGATCCCCAGATCACAAAATGGTTGATCCACGTCCAGTATTGTGTATCCAGTGCAAGCTGAAAGTAAATTAAACATGCTGTTACATGTAAGCCACTAAATTGTATTTGCAACAACAAATAGTGTTTTGCCTGCTGAAAAAACATACAGTACCTACAGTATCATGTCAGAAGAACTAACCCTCTTTCAGCCAAATAATACACACAATGCAACTACAGTTAGTGGAACCCCTATGTCTCTAACAGTCAAATGTGTGTGAAAGTATTCAAGAAAATGAGGATATTGTGTACCACTGATTCTGCTCGCCATGTTGTAGCCGTTTATGATGGTATCATTACAGCCATAACATGCTTTCCAGGGCTGGATTTCTGCATTGCTAACACAGGCTGTGGCCAAAAGGTGGCAGGTTGTCCGGGGGGTAGAACACAGGCACGCACAGGGTTACTGACTTCCATCAACACATTCCCAAGCATGTACAGTTGTGACCAAAATTATTCAACCCCCACTGAAATTGAGTGTTTTGGCCAGTTTGACATTGCTTTTGATCATTCAGTCATCTTGCTTACATTTACATTAAAGAGGCACTTGTAGGTCAGACAAATATAACATAACAGTTATAATGAAATAACCACAAATGTCTTTTCTGTGCTCACAGCATTATCAGTTTTATTCAACCCCCAAGTGACATTCAATCTTAGTACTTAGTACAGCATCCTTTTACAGTTATAACAGCTTTTAAACGTGAAGCATAGCTTGACACAAGTGTCTTGCAGCGATCTACGGGTATCTTCGCCCATTCTTCATGGGCAAAGGCCTCCAGTTCAGTCACATTCTTAGGCTTGCGCACTGCAACTGCTTTCTTTAAGTCCCACCAGAGGTTCTCAATCGGATTTAAGTCTGGTGACTGCGATGGCCACTCCAAAATGTTCCAGCCTTTCCTCTGCAACCATGCTCTAGTGGACTTGGAGGTATGCTTGGGATCATTGTCCTGTTGAAAGGTCCAACGTCTCCAAGCCTCAGGTGTGTGACGGACTGCATCACGTTTCCATCCAATATCTCCTGGTACTGAAGAGAATTCATGGTACCTTGCACACGCTGAAGCTTCCCTGTACCTGCAGAAGCAAAACAGCCCCAAAGCATGATTGACCCTCCACCATGCTTCACAGTAGGCAAGGTGTTCTTTTCATCATAGGCCTTGTTCTTCCTCCTCCAAACATAGCGTTGATCCATGGGCCCAAACAGTTCTAATTTTGTTTCATCAGTCCACAGAACACTATCCCACAACTTTTGTGGTTTGTCCACATGGCTTTTGGCATACTGCAGTCGACTCTTCTTATTCTTTGGAGACAGCAAGGGGGTACGCCTGGGAGTTCTGGCACGGAGGCCTTCATTACGCAGTGTGCGTCTTATTGTCTGGGCTGAAACTTCTGTACCCACATCTGACAAATCTTTTCTCAGTTCCTCAGCAGTCACACGGGGACTTCTCTCCACTCTACGCTTCAGGTAGCGCACAGCAGTCGAAGTCAGCATCTTCTTTCTGCCACGACCAGGTAGCGTTTCAACAGTGCCCTTTGCCTTGAATTTGCGAATGATGCTTCCTAAGGTGTCTCTTGGTATGTTTAACATCTTTGCAATCTTCTTATAGCCATTGCCCTTCCTGTGAAGAGAAATCACCTCTTCTCTTGTCTTCCTGGACCATTCTCTTGCCTTCACCATGTTTGTAACCACACCAGTAAATGTCTAGAAGGAGCTGAGTCACAGTCATTTTAAAGCTGCCTAAATTGGTGCTTATTATGCTTGATTGCTGCTCGGTGACATCCACAGGTGTTTTCAATACCTGATGGAAAGCACCTGTATGAACCTCTGTTCTTCAGAGTGGTAGTCTTTAAGGGGTTGAATAATTGTGGCAATGAAGAAACCACATAAGAACCATTTACTACTGTATTACATAAACAATTGATGTCATTTTAGTTGCATTTGGGTAGTTACAACGTCCTTGTAGGATTTGATTCTGAATACAATTCCAAATGTACACTATAGTCCCTAAACCCCTTTACAGCATTGGGGGTTGAATAATTTTGGTCACAACTGTACGTGACCGTTCTACTTCTGAGTTTGGGGTGTGCATGCGCATGCCCCCTGCCAACCCATGCTGTGATAAGACACAGCACATGTTTGGCAGAAGAGTTCAGTCAAACACACATAGAACTCTGTACATAGGAACAGCAATCTGGCCGTTTCTTCTCCATGAAAAACAGGGAGAAAAAACAGCCTGATTAGTAAGTAAAAGCAGATCACATTACACACATTACATTTGTTAGGCAAACAGTTAACCCCTTGATTGCTCCTAGATGTTAATCCCCTCCCAGCCAGTGTCATCAGAACAGTGTTAATGCACAGTATTATCAATGATCACTGTATTAGTGTCACTAGCAACATCAATGTCAGTTAGTGAACCCTCAGCTAATGTCAGTTATTGCCAGATTGCCTGCCACCCTATCACAGTCCTACTATAAATCACTAACCACAGCCGTTAGAGCAGGGGCGGACTAACAAATCATGGGGCCCCTGGGCAATAGGGGATCATGGGGCCCCTGTGTCCTTGCCCAAACTCAAAAAAGCCTATGAAAAAAAGGTACCAGGGGCATCTCATGGGGCCCTCTACTGACCCTGGGCCCTCAGGCAGTGCCCGAGTTTCCAAATGGCCTGTCCGCCCCTGCGTTAGAGTATAGCATCTATAGCTGCATACATTCCAATATAAACCATAGTTTGAAGCTATAACTTTTGTACAAACCACTTCACATACAATACTGGGATATTTATTTTAACCAGACATGTAGCAGAATATATGCTGGCCTAAATTTATGAAGAAATTTGATTGTTTGATTTTTCTTTTATTGTATATGTTTTATGACAAAGTAGAAAATTCTGTTTTTTCTAAATTTCGGTCTTTTTTTAAGTAAGCTTACATTTATAATTGTAATGTAGAATTCTCTTCTATAATATACAGGTTTTTCCACACAACAATTACAATAATTGATTCCAATCTTACCTTAAGTGTAACCGTAAATACTAGGATAGTGAATACCAGTGTTCCAAAGGTCCAGTTTCCCAGCATCTATAAAAATGTCAAAACCAAAAAAAAATATGTTTTTTTCATAATATAAACCTTTTCTTAATCAGCTTCAAACATCACTCAAAGAGTACCGATAGTATTTAGAGCTGATGAATTCATTCAAGTAATCATCATCATTTTGACAAGGAACAGCAAAACAATTCACAAATTAGAAGGAATTGAGGGTACTATAGTTTATGTAAACCGTAACAAACTCCTCTTATTAGCTCCCATTTGGTATGTTAAATCATTTGTTATATATGTTTTGATAGTTGCATAAAATATCTGTTGATCCTGCCAGATATCTAGTAAGCTGTTAACTTCCTGTGCTCTCCTAAATGTCTGGGATGCTCTGTCCATTACTGTTGTCCAAATCAAGCTGAAACTCTGCAATAACATACAGTTCAGTGCTTCTCTGCCTCCACTTTCTAACCTTTCTCAGTTGAGTTGCTGGGGCACCCTTGACAAACCCAGACAGCACCCTAGAAAGGGGGGCCTAGATTGAGAGACAACATTGTTCCTCTAAGACAGTAAATGAGCGTTGTCACCCTGAGACAAGATGTGTGTTACTAACAGGATCATCAGGTGGAAATATAGGAAAAAAGCCTGTAAAAGAAAACGAATGCAGCCGCCACATGGAGTGGCAAGGAAAAAATGCATTACATTTTTGTTCTTTGGTCTAAAGTGATGCTAAAGCTTCGTTTTTTTTTTTTTAATAACAAACATGTTATACTTACCTGCAATGGTTTTAGACAGAGCAACCCCAATCCTCCTCTTCTCCCCTGCTGCTGCTCCTGGCCCCTCCTCCCCACCAAGTGCCCACCATAGCAAGCTGCTTCCTATGGTGATCACTCATGCGGGGGCACCCTACTTTAAGATATGCTCTACATTTCTGATATTGCCATTTCCAAGGCAAGGCGACTGCAGTTGCCATAGGGTCCAATACCTAACAAACAAATAAGAATGCATGGGCCAAAAAGTGTCAACTTTTAACTTAAACGTGTCTAATTTGATGCATTCAAAGATTTCTTGATTATTCATTGTATGTACAGTATATACTTTTTTTGTTACAGCTAATACTAATAAAATATTATGCAAAATTATGCAATTTGATTGCAATACAATACAAACAGTATTTAATGTGATCCTGACCTGGCCTAAAACATTTCTAATGTAACAGTGCTGAGCTGCATATGTTCATTTTCAAATCAATCTCTGTGACCCTATGAAAATCTTTATGTTTAGATTAAAGTGAATCTGCCATGAGAGATATATGGAGACTGTCACTGGCACATCGCTATAAAAAATGTTAAGACTTCCATATCTCCACCCTTATTTCAAGTCAGTCACTAAGAAAGTGTTCAAGCCATTTGCTTTAGCACGACAAGTTACTAGAATTTGCAGCAAGGTCCAAAATGGCAGCTCCAAACATCTCTCATGTCCCTTTAAGTGTGGTGAATTAATATAAAATTACCTTTGGGATGTGAAACACGCCTAATGTGATAAAAGTTATTTGAGCTGCAATTGTGTATGCCTTCATTGTGGCAAAACACATGTACCAAAAGCACCAACAATTTTCAGACACTAAAAACTAATATTATGTTAAACACATATATGTGAATCATTAGTCCCGCAAAATTATTTTGCAAACCTAAAAAAAAAAAAATGCTGCTTTATATAATCAAATAATGATATTTCTTCAAGCTGCAGCTCTGTTGAACCCTGTGTTACCTCCAGGGTTGGATCTAGCCTGTCTGATCTGGGGGTGCAGTAAAAAAAAGTCAAGAAGGCATATGGTCAACACACCTTCATTTTATCTTCTTCCCCTATAGTCATCACATTAGAGGCCTACCTTCTCAACAGAGTCCTCCCTTGATATCAGAATCCCCCCATCACATCAGAGCCAGTCCCCATAAATTCAGAGCCCCCCCCCCCCTTCAAATTAATGTACGCCTCTACTAACATCAGTGTTAGCCCCTTCACAATAGTCCACAAAAGTCCTTAGTCATCCCTTCAAATCTTCAATGCAGTTGCAGCATCATAGCAGGATGCAGAGTAGGTCTGCATAGAAACAGGTCTTCTGTCCTCTTCTTTTAAATCCCCAGTTAACATTCATTTTAATGGGCCGGTTACCATCACAATGATATCATGCATCTTGGTTTGCCCGTTGCACCATGGAAATGAATGATGTAGTGCAGTGGACAAGGGCAAGACACTGTGCAGCCATGAAGAGGCTTCCTGATGCCAACATCACTAGTCCTGTGGGAACATGACTGGAATCTGGGGGGGAGGTCAGAATAATGTATAGAAGTGTCAGGCTTTTTTTTCAGGTGATCCTGCCACCTATAGTGGCAATGCTCACTCACTATACTGCATATTTGGAGGATCAGCTTTGTCACTCTAGAACAGAACGTGTGTCAGGACTATGGAACACCTTCCTCTTGTCTTATCTTCATATTATCAGTGGAGGTGCTCTGCCATTCATGGAGCTGAATTGGGAACAGGACAGCACTGCATTTCTGGCAGGATAAACAGGAATTTTTCTTTTACACTACTGCACAGATTTTAAAAAAAGGACCTTCCATGATTTATTTAGCACACCAAAAGGGATCAAATAAGAGAAGTTAATTCGTAGGGTTTACATATGCTTTAAAATGAATCTGCAAGGATAGATGTATGGAAAATGGTGATTGTTTTAAAGAGTGTAGGCTCTGAGGACATCATCCTCATCATTTTTCTTAACAGGATCATAAAGTCTGCTAAAACGTGATGTCGCATGCCTTTTGATTCATTTCATGCCAGGTAACTATACAATGAAGAATTTTATCTTTAATATGAATGGACTTGAATGAGGTTTAACTACTTGAAAGAACACAATTTTTTTCGTTATTATTTTGTTCTTTTTTTTCTGCTCATTATATGTCCTATAAAATATGAGCTATGTTTTTAAACTACATAGAATGAACAGACCTGGGAGCTCTCTATGACATGCAGACACCAGCAAATCAGAAAGATTATAGGGTCCAGATATACAGGAGTTCCAAGCTGCCAATTGGCTGTCTGGAGTAGTGATGTCATATTTTGCCAGAATTTACAGTTTTTTACCCACATATTTTCACAATTGCCAATGTGCTGCCCATATTTCTTGCTCATGTGTTGCCATGTTACAATAATCAAATGCCCTTAAGATATGGTCACGTCCCTAAAAATTATATTTTGGCTATGCACCCATTTAGATATGGCATGTAGCCACCAAGGTAGAAGAGGAAAGTAACTGCTGTACTAAATATACAGTGCTCAGCATAAATGAGTACACCCAAATAGATTTGTCAGAAAACCTTTACTCTACTTTAAGAATCAACGTGTTCTATGGGATACTATACTACAAAATTCTCCCACAAATGCGGGCCATTGATTGCAAACAAGATTTGTTAATTTGCACACACACAATATTTTTCCTAACAAATTCATTCAAGACCAAGTTACAAAAATGAGTACACCCCAATGAAAGTCTTCAGAGCAAAGCAAAATCCGAATCAATAAGAATTCAACTACAGGTGAGTCTAATTATTCATTACACAGGTGTCCAGCAGACAGCTGATTACAAAAGGTCGTTACTGAACAAAGAAAACCCTTCCCATTTCATACTGTCAGCAATGGCACCACAAGGAAGAGAAATGTCATAAGGCCTTAGAAAGAAAATCATTTCTTTACACAAGAAACGCAAAGGCTATAAGAAAATCAGCAAAGCATTACATATCAGTCTGAATAGTGATACAAAAATTGAAGAAAGATGGAACCGCAACCATCTCACAGAGATGTCCGGGCCATCCACAGAGGTTAACACCTCAACAGGAGTGTCTTCTGATGAGAGGGGTTGAAGAAAATTGCCATGTAAGTTCACTGCACTTAGCTAAAGAAGTAGAAAGCCAAACTGGTGTGATTGTTTCCCATGACACAATATGGCGTACACTACAGAGGAATGGCATGTATGAGCATCGTCTACGAAGGAAGCCTCTCCTAAAGCCTATGCACAAAAAAACCTGCCTAGAATTTGCCAGGGCCCATGCTTAAACAGAAAAAGACTACTGGGCTTCTGTCCTCTGGAATGATGAGACCAAGATAAATGTTTTTGGAACTGATGGCTTCAAAATGGTATGGTTTCGCAAAGGTGAATACAAAGAAAAATGTATGGTGCCTATAGTGAAACATGGTAGTGGCAGTGTCCTTCTCTGGGGCTGCATGAGTGCTTCTGGTGGCAGGGAGCTGCATTTCATTGATGGTATCATCAGGGGCGGACTGACAACTCCTGGGGCCCCCGGGCAATAGGGGATCATGGGGCCCCTGTGTCCTTGCCCAAACTCAACAAAGCCTATGAAAAAGGTACCAGGGGCATCTCATGGGGCCCCTACTGACCCCGGGCCCTCGGGCAGTACACGAGTTTCCAAATGGTCAGTCCGCCCCCTGGGTATCATGAATTCACAGATGTACTGCTCTATATTGAAAGAGAAGATGCTACCATCACTCCGTGCCCTTGGTTGTCGTGCACTTTTCCAATATGACAATGATCCAAAACACACATCTAAGGCCACTGTTGCATTTCTGAACAAGAATAGGGTGAAAATGATTCAGTGGCCAAGTATGTCTCCTGATCTGAACCCAAACAAATGCCTATGGGAAATTCTGGAGAGACAAGTTGAGAATCACTCTCCATCCAGCACCCAGGCTCTGAAAGAGGTCATTCTTGAAGAATGGAAAGAGATAGATGTTTCAATATGTTCATTCCATGCCTAGAAGACTGTGTGCTGTCCCTACAAATCATGGAGGCCATACAAAATACTAGATGTAGTAGTTTTTTTGTTGTGGGGTGTATTTATTTTTGCATCAACTAATTTGTGTAAAACTGAAGATTTTGTAATCCAAGTTATATTAATAACCTTACTTTCATGTAATGAGCTAAACAAATGTTCTGTAAGACTCAGTTTTGTCAAAATTTTGGAAATTGTTCTTGTGTTCATTGAGATGTTGATTAATATCTTACTTTTCAAATAGGGGTGTACTCATTTATGCTGAGCACTGTACCTTCACTCAGCAACTCTCATAAACTGACCATCTGGTTTATTTAACAAAACCGTGCAAAGAGTGTATTATTAAAATTTGTTATTCACAGCAACCAACTCAGAATTCATCTTCTGTTTGGTTTAGGGCTCTTTCAGACAACTGGTAATCCTTACCGCTCTCTGAAAAGTAATCTGTGGTGGATCACTTTTCAGAGGGCGGTATAATAGTGACTTGCAGGTGTTCAGGAGGTGCTACTGCCACCTCTTGATGCCTTTTTCTTTTATCTTTGTTTATTTTTTTTTAATTTCTGACCTGCAATTTTACATTGCAGGACTGCAATGCAACTGTCGGCAAAGTGTTTGCAGTGCATTGCTTTCAGTGGGTTAGTTTGACAGGCAGTAAGATACACTCCAGTAGCAAAAGCAAAGAATAGGGGTAATTTCCATAAGGATTCTATCTAAAAGTCTAGTAAGAGAATGGATAGAACTGCACAGCATAACATATCAGTGGACACCTTACCATATACGTGTTGGTTGTCAAGATCTGAAGAAAGCAACAGTGGCAGAAGCAAAAGAAAAACAGAAACATAAACATGCACGGCACAACATAACTATGAACAAAAACCAGAAGGTGTAACACTGAAAGGGTATGTATCAAGGCAAATCCAATGCATCTGTAGCATAAGACTGCAAATTCGGAATAGTCACAGTTTTATATCCCCTAGCTTCTGTGCTTTGCTCTGATACATAGACCATTTAAGCAGAAAATGGCTACAAAATGACATGTAACAAATAAATTAATACATGCATTTACTAGAAATGAAATGTTATTGGTTTTACTGTAGTCTATGTTACTATGATTACAAAATCATTGATCCAAGGAATTTGTCTGGTCATGTTTGCTTTCATTAGGATACTTAGGCAGTCCTATTTTTACTATAATCTCAGATCAACACTCCAGATAGTAGGTTTTTTTCTTATAACAGACTTATATACCATCAAAGCATACAGTATATAGATGTATGCTTATCAAATGAATTTACTGCTCCTACACTATGATAAACTCTGAGGTGGGAAGTCAGTAAAGGATACCTGTAATGCTGTGGTGGGAGAATGCAGAGAAAGAGAGAGAGAACATTTGCTATGGGCCCCATATCAACTGGATTGGCTGCTATAGTAGAATGTTATTTAAGGAGAAATTCACACAACTTTAGCACATAGATAAGGATCTTTATTTTAGCCATGAAACTAATTTTCAAATCCTACAGAACTCCGCTGGCCAAACACAAAGCAAATTTTGTCCGGTTTCCAATGAACCACCATAAATCACTTCTTGGATTGACTGCCAGCACCCATTCCACCCCCTTCCATCAGAATTGGAAAATCGCCAGTTGTAAAATTGTAGGCCAAAGAGTGCATGTATCCAGAGGCAGATACTGTTTGGGTATTTTGACCGCCAGCAATGCTGCAGCAGGAGATTCATCCATCCGCACTGTTTAGCGTGGTTGAAGAAGTCTGTTAGATTTTCTTTTATTTGGTCTGCAGACTGGTGAAAAAAAAAAAATCTATGCACACATGGCCAGCTTAATTTTTTTTATTTTAAATAAAGCAGGGTACACATGTATCAAAATGTGGTTGTATGGAAACAGTTGAATTTTGAAGTGCATCCCACTCTGTTCAACAGAAGCCAATCTAATGCCCGGCTTCTGTGGAACAGTCCTGCTAGAAAACCAACGCAAGAGCCAATGACTGTAGTACTGATCTGCGTATTCTGTCAGAATACAATAGTGCTGCAGGGGAGATTCCTGAATCCACACCACTTGTGTGGATGCAGGGGTCTGTGAGTTTCTTTTTTTAGTTCAACCCACTGATTGAAAAGAAAAAACGCTTGTATACCCACCTTAAGGATCCTTATCTCAGTTGTTAGCTTTGTGAATAGAGCCTTTATGTGTCTTGGTTTTTCATTTTTCAGGATCATTAATGTTAAAATAAACAGGATGTCTGTTGGGATACTGTAGCTATTTTAAACTAAATTGCTAAGTCAAACCATTATTTTCATGTAATAAAATGTAGAGATATAGCAGCATATAAAATATGAGAGACTTGAGCTACAAACTCAACATGCAAAAATAAAATAAAAATAGCTTTATCAGAACTAAATTTGTTGTACGCCTATATATAAACATTATAGCAGCTAATAGAAGTATATACAAACATATAAAGGAGTATGGCACTAAAAACCACACTTTCTCTGCCGCAGATTTCCTTGAGCACTTACCTGCCCATTGCTAGTCACAGTGGCATTGTCAAATAGGAAGTAGGCCCCAAAGAAAAACACAACTGCATCAAACAGTCCCAGGAAGGTCCAGTAAATAAACAGACGCCACCGCAGCAGAGCATTCTTGGCAATATCCCTGTAAAAAAAAGAAAAAAGGAAACTAAAACAGGATGTTTGTTAAGCCTGTTTCATTGCTTCATATGGATCAATTCAACAAAGCAAGTTACATTGCAGAAATAAAACCAATTTATTTTTGTGCCAGAAAGTCAGAAACTTGAGTCAAAATATCCCATTTAAAATTATTTATAATACTAAGTATTTATATCTTTGCCAAAAATTAAATATCTAGTCTGCTATAGTCTTCTCACCACTTCTTTCTACCCTTTCTAGTCCCAAGCTGCCTTTGTTTAGGAATGTACAAATGTGACATTATATTCAAAATGTAGCATGTTCTAGAAATCTCAGACGTGTGTTCGGGTCAAGCCATACAACAGCATGGAAAGAAGCAAAAGAAAAGTAGGTTGGAGTGATTTTGGATAAACTGAGTTTGCTGAGAAAGTACAGCAGAAGCAGAAACTTTTGTCTATTGAGCTACTTTGCAACATTTGCTTAATAATAAAAACATTCTATTTTTTTTCCTATTTTAGAGGGTACAGGGATTCTTTCTGGGAGGGGCAGGTGTATTTAGTTCATTTCATTTAGCGTCTGCTGTACTCATGTTTTTTTTCTTTTGTTTTTATGTCCATTTTTTTACTTTTTTGTGAAGACATGTAAAACAATGAGCCTTAGCAAAAGAACAAGTTCAGGTTATAGGTCCAGTATAGCTGAAATAAGCTTCTGTAACCCTTAAAAGCCTTTAAAATGGTCATTGCACTCTTGGAAACCAAAAAGCCACCATCATTTTGCCTCCCCCATTGACTCTAATTTCACAAACAATGGCAACATTTTAAAAAAATCGCCAATTGTTCACTGAAATTTCAGGAAAATTAAAACTCTAATTTTCACTAATTACTGAAGAGGGGTGTGAACACTCGGTATATATTAAAACAAAAAAAAAAGCCATTAGTAGACAAACCTGTCTGTAGTTAATTCAAGGCAAAATCCCAATTCCAAAAATAGTTCTATTGTTGTTATCTATATTGTATTTATATTGCAGGTTTCCTTTATTATCTTAAAATGTATTCAGAAGTGTAATTACAGATGAAAGTATCATAATCTAAGATAAAAAATTGAATTCACTCAATACTTACATACACACACACACACACACACACACACACATATTCTTATTCAATGTACACTTTGTATAATATACCTGTATAACGTGGGATCTCTCTTCAACATTTCCATACTAACATGTTGCTCTATTAGACTATACAACAGTATAGGCAGTGAAGTGAAGCTGATATTGTACAGTGTTAGGTACGCAGTATCATATAAAGGCTGAAAAAAAAATAATTGCAGATTCAGATTGGTAACATGATAATTATAATATCTACTTTTCTCAATACTGAGTATGTAAAATGAGCTACAATCATTTTAACATAAGAAACTAGTTGGAGTTAAATGTATCAGTGCAGGATATGGAAACTATTATTTCTCCTGATCTGTTTTTATTTTTTTTTCTCATTACTGACCTGCTGGGAAAATCCACAGAAGAACTGGTATAAAAACTGGGGAAAGATAAAGCACACATTCTGAAATAAAAACAGAAGAAATTGGTGAAAAAACAAACTTGGGTTTGAGTTGCACGCAGTCATTGATAAAATGCGATCCTTACCTTATAAAAAAAGTACTGAACCAGCTCTGCTATTCTAACATAATAAAAATGACCATGAACAAGAAGCATCTTCTTTAAATGTTTAAATTTAGGTATTGCATAGTCACTGTTCCTGGCTGCCTGTCTTCCCTCTTTACCAATAATACCTGAAAAACAAAAGAAATTGCATTTACGGGAATGTATAGTCATTTAAATGATTTTTGAACAATAGACACCGGGTTCTTCAGTAGCCCCACTGGATAGCCAGCAAAGGGGACTTATGTGACATCCATCAGCATGGAGCCAAAGTACCTTTTGGGGAGGACCACTTTTTTGGGTAACCCCCCCATTCCCAGTGCAAAAGGACATGCAAGCTAGTATCACTACCGCACAGGGCTGCGTACGTCCTGCTTCCTTGCCATGGAGATACCATGCCCATTGTGCCATGCTAGGTAAAAAAGACAGACTTTGTTCAATGTTCAAACTGCGTAAAATAGAGAGAGATCAGGTCAATCAGAAAGGTGCTTCACTGGTGAAACCTTTCATTTTATAGCCCTTTGTTCCCAAGCATAATTTTGCAGTGCACTCTCTCTATGACCAGTATTTTTGCTCAAAAGTTGTCAAAGCAGTTCTATTACTAATGTCAGTATTCAAATAAAGATCATCCTGCAAACAAAAAAATGTACCTCTCAGTTTTTGCCCATGCCACTGATCTCTGCAGTAGTCAAGCTCCTGTCTCCCCTGCCATATACTGTGGTTCTGCCCACCAACCCCAGCTTCACTGAAAGTAATGTAAGGGCTACATCACACTAAATCAAAGTGGGGCACCAGGAGTGTTAGCAGTCCAGCAGTTTACTTTCACTACAGAAGAGATCGGCAGCCAGGATAGCATGAGACTTGAGTACTTTTCTGCAGATAACGAGTGGCATAGCGTGGACAGAGCCAAAAAGGTGGCCATACTGGGCAAAACATTTGTAAGAATTCAGGGTGGGAAATGCAGGAGATTTGTCTGTGTGCACTCCCGTTCTGGTTCTGTCAGTGGCACACTCCCTCCTCTCTCTCTGCCTTTAAGACTGTGTGGCCGGTTCTGCATCAGAGTGGGAAGAGTTGAGGAGAACAGGTGTTGAGCTCTCACAGAGTGCTGCTCAGTGCAGTTGAACATAGCTCTGAGCTCTCTTCTCCTTCCTCTGCTCCCTCCTCCCCAGGACCACCACCACCTGGCATGCTGTGCACTGGAAATCCTGCAACAACCAGTGAGCCTGGGTGGAAGGGGGTTATATGAAGTTGGGGTGCAAAATAGTGGGTGTATAGAGTTGGAGGGCACAATGAGGGGATGAAGGAAGTGCGGGTGCTCCCTCGAAGAGTGTATGGAGTGGGGGAGCAAAGGCAGGAGTGTGCATTACCTGAGGTGCATCTCATGGTAAGAAGAGGAAATGTTTGTAATAACTACCCCAATATCTGGGGGGACTGTACTGACTGTGATTGGGGGGGTTGTTAATGGGTGCACATAAAGGGTCGTATAGTTGGGAGGGTACAGTAAAGGGGATGCACACTCTGGGGACAGTGCTGTAGGTAGTATTGAGGTAGGTGGGACCCCTCACTCTAGATCACATCCTATGGGCTCCCCAGGGATGACGGGTGCCACACTGCCTACCAACCCTACTCCAAGGGGCAGTCTGGGCTAGAGCATTGTGCCTGACTACCCAACTGGACAGGGCCAAGGGCCACCCTGTGTTGGGGTTCTGCCAGCTGGATATCAGCCTCCAGTCTCTCCAGGTATACCAGAGGGCCAGCAGAGGCACCACTACAAGTGGTTTAGGAAGCTGGGCATGCAGGGAAACTCAATGTACAGATGTTGTACCCTATGTAATCAATCTCTTTCTCTCTTCTCTAGAGTGACAAATCACATTTCTCTGTCTGGCAATCCAATGGACATGTCTGGGTTGGGCGGTTGCCAGGAGATCGGTACTTGCCTGACTGCACTGTGCCAAGTGTAAAGTTTGGTGGAGGGGGGATTATGGTGTGGGGTTGTTTTTCAGGGGTTGGGCTTGGCCCCTTAGTTCCAGTGAAGGGACCTCTTAAGGCATCAGCATACCATGACATTTTGGACAATTTCATGCTCCCAACTATGTGAGAACAGTTTGGGGATGGCCCCTTCTTGTTCCAACATGACTGCACACCACTGCACAAAGCAAGGTCCATAAAGACATGGATGAGCAAGTTTGGGGTGGAGGAACTTGACCTGCCTGCACAGAGTCCTGACCTCAACCCGATATAACACCTTTGGGATGAATTAGAGCACAGACTGCGAGCCAGGCCTTCTTGTCCGACATCAGTGCCTGACCTCACAAATGCACTTCTGGAAGAATGGTCAAACATTCCCATAGACACACTCCTAAACCTTGTGGACAGCCTTCCCAGAAGAGTTGAAGCTGTTATAGCTGCAAAGGGTAGGCCAACTCAATATTGAACCTTATGGACGAAGACTAGGATTCATTTAATGTTCATGTGTGTGTAAAGGCAAGCGTCCCAATACTTAGTTATATATTCTTCTTATTACTTATATTTGTGGAGGAAATGAGTGCAATACTTGCTTTGTACCGAGTGCTAGCAACCCATACTACGCCGCTGCAAGGAACAATTTATTTTCAACATTGGTTTTACCAACAGATTGCTTTAAACTGTTTTTTTTTTTTGTATGGTATTTTAGAGACACAATTAGTAACACAAAACTTCCACAGATCAATCATTATTTCCCTATTTTTTTTCCATATATTAAATTGCTATTGTCCCAGTCCCACTTCTGTTTTTTACAGTAAAAAGAATGAAAAGAGAGGGGCTATTAGAAGATGGACTAAAATCATAAAATGTACACAGATATTTGGACTACACAGTACAGATACTCCAAACTTACCAATGCCAACATGTGCTTCAAGGATCATACTGACATCATTTGCACCATCTCCTATGGCCAGTGTAATTGGATGTTCTCTACATGTCTTTATTAGTTTGACGATCTATAAAACAATGAACAACTTTCTAGCACCAAATTAAACATTTATGCCAATATATAAATAATCATCAATAAGAGCTGTAATAATATTTCATGCTCTTATGTTTGTGGCCGTGACTGATAATGTCTTCTAGTATAGGCCCCACCTTACTTGTTACACAATAACCTCTCTCTAGAGAACACCCCAAAATTCAATCAGTGGGTGGCCCTGTCGCCACCACTCTGCCCCACATTCTTCGAGTGAAAGACCTATTGTTGACCAAACAGGGCCTGCATCCAATGAAATGTGGGCCCTGTTCAGGTACTCTGACAATTGTAGCCACAGCAAGTGATTCATCCATCTGTGCTGTTTAGCATGGAAGGAGGAATCTGTTAGATTTTTGTTTTTCTGTAGTTCACAGGATGAACAATATAAATCTATGGGTATATGGCCAGCTTACTGACTCCACAGCTACAATTAGAATGCGTTGTTGCAGACTTCCTGCTGTCTGTTTAACTAAATTGTATTTAGTTTATTTTGTTTATTAATCACCTGGGGGAAAAGGAGATAGTTATACCCCACATAAGCTGCTAAGAGCATTAAGACCCACTTTAAATCTTGAGATAAATACATATATATATATATATATATACATACACACACACACACACACACACACACACACACACACACATACATACATACACACACACACACAGTATTTCTATATATACAGATCAGAGAATGAAAAAAAATAAAGCTGCTCTGTTTCACCTAGCTACCCTACATACTAGCTTACTTGCCTTATGATTAAATTATAACATTCTCAATGGTTTCTACTTAGAGCAGTGTTTCTCAATTCCAGTCCTCATGGACCCCCAACAGGTCATGTTTTCAGGATTTCCATTATTTTGCACAGGTGATTTGATCAGTTTCACTGCCTTAGTAATTACCACAGCTGTTTCATCTGAGGGAAATCCTGAAAACATGACCTGTTGGGGGTCCATGAGGACTAGAGTTGAGAAACAATGACTTAGAGGTACCTGTGCTTGATTGTGGTTAACATTCAATACATAAAGCTTGGTAAAGGAATCGAGAAGGGTGCACAAAAAAAAAAAATTAATAAAAAAACGGAAAAAAAAAATAGCGAGAGGCAATTCTGTGGGCAAGAATTGTAATGTAAACGGTCAAGAGGAAAAGGCCTAGATTTGATCTAACTGACAAAATCCAGAACTGCCTAAACCAGGGGTCCTCAAACTATGGCCCGTGGGCCACATGTGGCCCGCTGAGGATATTTATCCGGCCCGCCGGCAGGGGCGTATTTGCCACGAGGAAGGGACACTAAGTACAGGGGTGGGCAGGGGGCTGCTGTATCTCACCTGGCTCTGGTCCCAGTCCCACGATGATCCAGTCCAGGAAGCTATGCTCCTTCATTCACTCCGGCCACTCCCTCACTCGATGTTCACGCTGCCGCTCGGCTGCGCCTCCTCTGCAGTGATTGGGCGCCAGAACTGTAGCTCAGGAAAGGCACACAGGCGGCTAATCACCTGCAAGGAGGTGGAGCCAAGCAGGCCCGCGAACATCGAGTGAGGGAGAGTCAAGAGTGAAGTAGGACAGCTGACAGGTAAGTGTGCCGTGCAGATGGTGCTGCTACAACCAGGTATGCTGGCTACAACAGCACATGCTGGAACAGGGGACAGCAAGTTACGTGTCATTGGTGTCAGTGGGAGGAATAGTGCCCCATCATTGGTGTCACTGATACTAATGATGGAGTATTATTCCTCCCACTGACACCAATGATGGGGCACTATTGCTCCCCCCACTGACACCAATGATGGGGCACTATACCTCCCCCCACTGACACCAACAATGGGGCACTATTCCACCCTCCACTGACACCAACGATGGAACACTATTCCTTCCCCCACTGACACCAACGATGGGGTACTATTCCTCCCACTGACACCAATGTTGGGACACTATCCCCCCCCCCCCACTGACACCAATGACGGGGCACTATTCCCCCCCACTGACACCAATGACGTACTATTCCTCCCACTGACAACAAAGATGGGGCACTATTCTTCCCACTGACACCAATGATGGGACTGACACGATTTCTCCCATAGACACCAATGACGGGGCACTATCCCCCCCCCCCACACTGACACCAACGATGGGGCACTATTCCTCCCCCCCCCCACTGACACTAATGATGGGGCACTATTCCTGCCACTGACACCAATGACGGGGCACTATTCCCCCCCCCCAACTGACACCAAAGATGGGGCACTATTCCTCCCCCCACTGACACCAACAATGGGGCACTATTCCTCCCCCCACTGACAATAATAATGGGGCACTATTCCTCCCACTGACACCAATGATGGGGCAGTTTCCTCCAACTGACACCAATGATGGGGCAGTATTCCTCCCACTGACACCAATGATGGGGCATGTTTCTTCAAACTGACACCAATGATGGGGCACGTTTCTTCTCACTGACACCAATGATGGGGCACGTTTCTTCTCACTAAACACCAATGATGGGGCACTATTCCTCCCCACTAACAGCAATGATGGGGCACTATTTCACTCCATAAGACACACTTGGGGGGAAATGTCTGTGCGTCCTATGGAGCGGCCGGCCCAGTATTCCCGCCGCCGTTGTATGTCCGCAGTCTCTGGTCATCTCCTGTACTGTGTCCGCAGTCTCTGGTCATCCTCTGTACTGTGTCCGCAGTCTCTGGTCATCCCCTGTACTGTGTCCGCAGTCTCTGGTCATTTCCTGTAGTATGTCCGCAGTCTCTGGTCATTTCCTGTACTGTGTCCGCAGTCTCTGGTCATCTCCTGTACTGTGTCAGCAGTCTTTGGTCATCTCCTGTACTGTGTCCGCAGTCTCTGATCATCTCCTGTACTGTGTCCGCAGTCTCTGGTCATCTCCTGTAGTATGTCCGCAGTCTCTGGTCATCTCCTGTAGTATGTCCGCAGTCTCTAGTCATCCCCTGTACTGTGTCCGCAGTCTCTGGTCATCTCCTGTAGTATGTCCGCAGTCTCTGGTCATCCCCTGTACTGTGTCCGCAGTCTCTGGTCCTCTCCTGTACTGTGTCCGCAGTCTCTGGTCATCCCCTGTACTGTGTCCGCAGTCTCTGGTCATCCCCTGTACTGTGTCCGCAGTCTCTGGTCATCCCCTGTACTGTGTCTGCAATCTCTGGTCATCCCCTGTACTGTGTCCGCAGTCTCTGGTCATCCCCTGTACTGTGTCCGCAGTCTCTGGTCATCCCCTGTACTATGTCTGCAATCTCTGGTCATCCCCTGTACTGTGTCCGCAGTCTCTGGTCATCTCCTGTAGTATGTCCGCAGTCTCTGGTCATCTCCTGTACTGTGTCCGCAGTCTCTGGTCATCTCCTGTACTGTGTCCGCATTTGTTCATAGTTTTCTTTGAAACTATTGTCCGGCTCTCCAACGGTCTGAGGGACAGTGAACTGGCCCCCTGTTTAAAAAGTTTGAGGACCCCTGGCCTAAACTATCAACCCTTCACAAATGGCATTTTCTGATCATGCTACATGTTAACCTTTGAAGAGGATGGCTAAAGCTTTAACTACAAAAAACAGATCCTTCAGTGCCAATTATGCATTATTTGAGTACCACAGCATACCCAAGTATATTGGCCCATATGCACCTCTTTATGTCCACGGTATACCCATATTTCTAGTGGCTACCATTTGGCAGGATAATCTATCATATCACAAATTTTGATGGTGAAATCAGTATAATCAAAATTTCCAAATCTGAATTTATCTGTCTGAGTACTGTCTGAAGAGGAAATGACAGGTTGAGAACATGTATGTGTGATCAACAAGTCTCCAAAACGGCTTGATGCTTTGAAGCAAGGATCACATTCCTCTAGCTATATTTACAGCACCTTCTTGAATCCATGCCATAAGAAATTCAGGATGCTCTGGATATTTATTTATTTTTTTGACTGGGGAAACTTAAATACGGTACACTGAACAAAAAATCATGAAATAATTCCAGTTGTCAACTTATGTGTAGAAGTATAGGTGCAATGATTGGTTCAAGATCTTACAAACTTCTCCAATATATCACATGAATTCAGCAGGGTCATTCCCTTCATGTCCCAAAGATGAATTATCCATTTATGTTGATGCAATGTACAGTGCTTATTGCACAAAGTAACCCATAGCAACTAATCAGACTATAATTTACAGTGATTCAATGCACATGCATCTGCCAGATCTAGGACCTGCCACTTCTGTTTTTTTTTTTTTCTTCTTGTAAATATGCAGGCTCTGGGTCTGCATTTCTGATCCTTGCTTGCACTGACCTTAGAAAAGTATGCAGGACAAGACTTCACTAAGTGCATGCTTGTTACATGCATATGTGTGTTACAAATTGGAATATAGATTGGACTACACACAAGACTGCACAGTGCTGTGTTAAGAATACAAGGATTTATTTTGGATATATGGTAAATTAATACTTGAGTCTGTCCTTACCAATGTGCATGATTGAACTCAAGTTTAATACACTTGGGGATACATCAAAATACAGAGAATCACACCCACCACATTTTTGGATTGAGGATACTACTCTCAGTGCTGCATGTGATACTATACAGATCGATACATATGGGGTTAAACTTTACCTTCTTTTAAGAAGCAATTTGATGTTATATTATTTTGTATATTACACATTATGTCAATTGCCTAATTATGAAGGTTTTTCTTGTTTCAGGGAATATTTGTTCAAATATATCATAGCATGGTGACCAGGGACATTTATTACGGACCATGGTTTTTAGTATTTCATATGTGCAATAAAATGTATATATTTTGTTATAAACAGTTTCATTTCCTGTCTTTCTCTAGCATAATATATCTTGTATAACTAGGGGTTTTCCAATGAGCCCATATTTCAGGTGATTTCTTGTAGCTGGTTTACTTTGCATACTGCTATGGAATTTATCACAGTTTCACAGAAAAGTGTGTGGGTGTGCGATTATATTCTTTTAAAATGTACACAATATAATTTTAAGGCACATTCACAGAAAACAATGTTACAACTTTAGTTTTTAAAATGTATCTCTTCTGTGTTCAGTCACTGTAACATGCAATCCAAAATTAAGTCACTAATGTTATTCTGTATGTTATTTAAGGCATGTACACTGCTCAAAAAAATTAAAGGAACATTTTGAAAACATATCAGATCTCAATGGAGAAAAATATAATGCTGAATATCTATACTGATATGGACTGGGTAATGTGTTAGAAATGTAAGGATGTCCCATTGTTTGTTGGAAATGAAAATGATCAACCTACAGAGAGGACTGAATTCAATGATGTCCCGAAAATCAAAGTGAAAAAATGATCCAGCAGGCTAGTCCATTTTGCTGAAATTTCATTACAGCAACTCAAAAAAGGTACTCCGTAGTATGTATGGCCCCTACGTGCTTGTACCCATGCCTGACAATGTCGGAGCATGCTCCTAATGAGATGACGGATTGTGTCCTGGGGTATTTCCTCCCAGGGGGCCATTCAATGGTATCAATTCCTTCATCCTCCAGGAATTGCCTGCATACTCTCGCCACATGAGACCAGGCATTGTTATGCACTAGGAGGAACCCCGGACCCACTGCACCAGCATAGGGTCAGACATGGGTCCAAGAATTTCATCCTGATACCTAATGGCAGTCAGGTGCCATTGTCTAGCCTGTAGAGGTCTGTGCATTCCTCCATGGATATGACTCCCCAGACCATCACTGACCCACCACCAAAATGGTCATGCTGAATGATGTTACAGGCAGCATAACGTTCTCCATGGCTTCTCCAGACCCTTTCACATCTGTCACGTGTGCTCATGGTGAACCTGCTCTCATCTGTGAAAAGCACAGAGCTCCAGTAGCTCTATGGTACCAGGCAGTGATCACAGGGCCCACTAGAGGACATTGGTCCCTCAGGCCATACTCACAAAGTCTGTTTCTGATTGTTTGATCAGAGATGTGTGCAGAATCATGTATATTTACAAGGGATTGTGCACTTACAGATAGAAAATTTCATTTATATAAAGCGTTGCATGACCGCGCAATTATCAATTAAAATAACGCAGTGTTGTATAGCAAAAAATGGCCTGGTCAGGAAGGTGGGTAAATATTCCAGAGGCCAAGAGGTTTTTTTATGTGCGCACATTACTACTGTACATGTGTTAAATACAGCGTGCTTATATCTAACCCAACTCTGGGTTCTGGGGTTATGTGTACTGAAATGGATTCAGGAATAAAAAAAAACAGCAAACATTTTTGCCATATGCTTGATCTAGCCTGGTTACTGCTAATTCTTGGCATACTACATATGTAGGGTTGCCAGGGCTGCAAAAACTCATTGTTGCATTATGCCACATTGCACTGTTGGCCTTGACCAATTGAGTGATTTATACCCCTGCTACAGTGATGATAGGTTGCTTGCTCTTCCACTCCTCCTTTCAAGCCTTTCTCTGAATGGACAAGGGGAAGGGACAAGGGGAAGGGACAAGGGGAAGGGAGAGCAGATGAACATAAGGATCCCACCTTGTCCACTTTGATCACTGTATGGGTGGCAGAATTTACAGCAGCTGAGTCAGAAATTGAAAGCCAACAATGTGGAAAGTGGCATAATACAATTTTTTGCATCACCAGCAACCCACACTGTACATTTGTATTTTAAAAATTAGAGATAATGAAGCTGGACCCAGCACATGGCAAAAAATACTTTTCTGGGAGTTCTGTAGCAGATTTTTTGTTAACATTACTTTAACTATATATACAGTATAGTATCTCTGAACATTTGCCTAGCTCCACTGAAATGGTTAGCAGCTCATATATGCAGATTGAAATACCACAGCAACGCAATGAGTAAGAAGACCATTAATTTGAACCAAAAACCCCCCCAAAAAAGCAGAATATACATTTATCTGATCTGGGTATAAGTATCCTGCATACTGGAAATCCAGCTGTTCAGTGAGTTTAACACCACTGTGCTGACCCACAGTGAAGAAGTTTTTTTTGTTTTTTTTTTTTTTTAACTAAAAACTTGAAGGCTCAGTACCTGTGCTTTCTGCAAAGGGGCCATCCGGCAACACAGAACGGCACTGCAGTTCCTGCAGATATCGAGGAAAACCTCTCTGTAGTTTGTAGAGCTCCCATCTTCTCTAGGTTTCATTATTAATGAAAGTGCGGCTCCATCAATAATTAAACCGTAATCTTGGAAATCGGCTGAAAACCTATACCACGTTGAAGAAAAACAAAATGAAAGGTATCAGTATGATTCTGCAGCTGTCTACTCCAAGTCATTTACTTAATGGAAACAAGAACTGTGTATCCGGTCTAGTCGGCCCAGCAGATGGTTGGGCACTTGGCTTAATTATAAGACAAGTATTACAAAACATTGAGATCTGTTGTGATAGTTCTCTCATTAACCTCCATGGTTATAGTTGAAGATGAATGGGAGATGTTTCCAATCGTCTATCCTGTTGTATGGCCTATCACAGTGGCTAAGTAGCCTGGCGCTCTGAGTTCAGTTTCCACCAGGGATCTTATCTCAACAGAGTTTGTATGTTCTTCCTGTGTTTCCATAGGTTTATTTCAAGTGGTCTGGCTTTGTCACACAATCCAAAAACATACTGGTAGGTAAATCGAATGCCAACTAAACTGGTCTGTGTGTGGGTGTATCAGTGTCTGTTCAACTATAATATAAGGAGTAGATTAGGGAAAGGACTGGTGTGAGTACTTGGCTAAGTACTATACCAATGGATAAGATACACAGAAATAGGACACCAGTAACTTTTTCAGAGTACAAACCAAGGTGTGGATGACATGTGCATTTTATTGTTTACAACTCAAAACAATATAGTCAAATAGGATATGTTGAGAAAGATCTAAAATGAATCAAAAAGCCCTCTAACAGAATTAATCCAAAGCACAGTAAAGCTCATCCCAAAATAAAAGGATTGTCCCTCACTCTAGGACATTGGGAGAGCTGAGCAAATAAATTCCTCTATGCCTCAACACCACAATAACAATAAGATTCAGAACTACCAGTGTGTGTACTGCAAATAAAGCCTAATATTGTAGAGCCATCATCCAAACATCTAGACTATCAAGACTTGGCCATCTTTAGTGCAGTATATGAACACTCAGGGGTTTATTTACTAAAGCTGGAGAGACTCCCTTCTGCATAGAAACCATCTTCTAACCTCAGCTTGTGCAATGTTTATGAAACTGGAAGCTGATTAGTTTCTATGCAGAATAGTCTGATTTTGGAAGCTTTAGTAAATAATAAACCCCTTAGCTTCTATAGTTAAAATTGTAACAATACTCTAATGTAAATGTACAAGATTGGTATAGACTACCAGTTCAAGAAATGTTACACATAATATTTGCATTTGTATTCCTGACAATCTACATCTTCAGTAAATTTAGCAATGTTTCTTTGTGAAAAAAAAATGTATTTGCAAAGACCTTCCTGGCAAAGCACTAACTGCCCTTCAAGAAAAATGAATTTTACAGGGTAAAATAAGAAATAATAGAACCTCTACAGTGAATTAAAAAATATCAGAGATGGTATTGGACTTGCATGACCTATACAAAACACTTAGCCTGCATTCTATACATATACAGCTGGTAAAATCTGTCAGCAGGGCTGTTCTCATGTCCAGTAAAGAATGTTTTCATGAGGTCTCTCATGCTCTTTGCGCATGATTCATGGGTCACTTAGTTCATACATCATCAGCTAAAATTGAGAGTAGTATTGTATGATCTAACTGTACAATTTCTTTACAAACTCATTTAGGATTTCACAACAGAAATGTTGTGCAAAGGTCTATTGAAATCAAGTTATTCAATTTAATTCCATTAAATTGATATTGATAAATTTAATGACTTCAGCTTTTACCATATGACTAGCTTCAGATACTGGTGCAACTATGCTGGCTTAGGACTTTACATACTAGTGACATGTTGTATTTAGCATAGTTAGACCATAGTTACAGGCAGGAATGCAGCCTTTAGTGATTAAGGCCCCTTTAATATGGAGCAGGCTCGGTTATGATCAGTAGGGGATCTGTCCACTGATCCCCTGCTAATCAGAGCAGAGCGGACAAATGACAGGTCAGTGTCCTCTCAGTCTATGCAGCACGAACACAGATTGAGCCCAGTATGCTCTATGGGCAGTCAGGTGTCAATTGACTTTGCTGTCTATTGACACCTGACTGTCCTCTGATGCAATCCGCCTAGACACAGGTGTGTGTAAACAGGTTCAAGTTCATTTTCAACTGCCAGTCCATGGGGTGAATGGACGGTCCACCTGAAAAAGCTGACATGCGGACCTGATCAGACCCTTCCTGTGAAAGGGGCCTTATAGTACTACAACCGATACAAAGATAAATAGAAACGTGTCTAAATATGTTTCTAAATATGTTACTCAGGATATCATTTGTGATGTGCTGTTAGTATGGCCAAAACCTTTTTATTTTAGTTCCGGATAGAGTATGGAAGGGTTAAACAGGTTTTTATTGTGGATATTGTCCCCAAGAGGTAGATTCACCCTTTGTTCTGGTGATTATTGTTGCTGTGACAGAAAGTGATGGAGAATACCAAATTTTACAGCTTTCACCAGAACAAGAGATGAGGCTAAATCTTCCAATGGGGGCATTGCTGCAGACACCACTGTCTAGGAAGGGAATTTTGCTTTATTTTGGGGAGATTTCCTCTAACTTCCTGCTGCATCTTCAGCGCAGAGTGTTACAATCTTGAAAATGGGAAATCTTCCCATTGGGACACAGGCAGCAAACAATAACCTGACCCTTTCCTTCTCTATTTAAAACTTATAAAGAAAAGTTTTGGCAAAATATACACTTTAACAGGCCAGATTCAGAGGTTCTGTTCTTACGTACTCCTGTTGACAAACCTGAGTGTCATGGTTCACAAGGCTTAATAAAACCCTTCATATGTGTAGCACTCTTCAGAGTCTAAAAAGCACAGCTCTCATGCGAAGCTTTCAGCAGATTGCTGTATTAACAGACTTAAGTCCATGACGTACCCTGAGAAATTGTCTCTCGGTAAGCTCTCACTGTGCCTCAGGACTGTTTTGCTTAACTCAAACAGCACATCATGTAAACTTTGTTCCTCTATCTTCTTTGTTGTGAGCTCCAGCAGCTGCGTGGTTCTTCTGAACAGTTTGCAGGCGTAACAGGTGGCAGCAGCAGTCTCCATTTTGTCTCCTGTGAGGACCCACACTTTCATGCCAGCTTTCTGTAAAGATTCAATGGTATCGGCTGCTTTTTCCTGGAGTCTGGAACAAAAAGGACAACTTATTTTCCATTTATGGACTAGCTCTATTATTGCACTATGTTTGTATTATAATCTAACTCAATTGATCCAAATGTATGGAATGTTTATCTGGAAGCAGGGGTGGACTGACAACTCATGGGGCCCCTGGGCAATAGGGGATCATGGGGCCCCTGTGTCCTTGCCCAAACTCAAAAAAGTCTATGAAAAAGGTACCAGGGGCATCTCATGGGGCCCCCTACTGACCCGGGGCCCTTGGGCAGTGCCCGAGTTTCCAAATGGTGAGTCCGCCCCTGTCTGGAAGTAATCTTCCAACCATATGTCCTAGTATATCTAATATTCATCCTGTTATGGATGATTATTTCCTATTGTGGACGCTTTTGTGTTGCACCCAAACGTGAACTAATATACATTGTACAGCAGGGGCAGACTGACAACACATGGGGCCCCCGGGCAATAGGGGATCATGGGGCCCCTGTGTCCTTGCCCAAACTCAAAAAAGCGTATGAAAAAGGTACCAGGGGCATCTCATGGGGCCCCCTACTGACCCCGGGCCCTCAGGCAGTGCCCGAGTTTCCAAATGGTCAGTCCGCCCTGTTGTACAGTATGTGGTTGATTTACTAAAACTGGAGAGTGCAAAATCTGGTGCAGCTCTCCATAGAAACCAACCAGCTTCCAGGTTTTTTTATTGTCAAAGCCTAATTGAACAATCTGAAGTTAGAAGCTGATTGGCTACCATGCACAGCTGCTCCAGATTTAGCATTCTCCAGTTTTAACAAATCAACCCCTATATTTTTACCAATCGTTTTGGGTGGAGGGAGAACCTGATGTGTTCAAACTGTTATATGATGTTACACTCGCATGAAGATCTTCAGTCAAGCTCCTTACTTTGATACTGTCATTGTGTTGGAAATGTCTTTATTGAAGTTATTTAAAGTCCAACTCCAGCCAAACTTTTTTTTTTTTTTAACAGACTCATGAAGGGTTAGAACCTCTGACAGGGCCACTTTAACCACTTGCCTACCGGGCACTTTTACCCCCTTCCTGCCCAGGCCAGTTTTCAGCACTGTTGCATTTTGAATGACAATTGTGAGGTCATGCAACACTGTACCCATATGACATTTTTATACTTTTTTTTACACAAATAGAGCTTTATTTTGGTGGTATGTACCACTGTTGTTTTTATTTTTTTGCACTATAAACAAAAAAAGGGCAAAAACTGAAAAAAAAAAAAAAATGTTTTTCTTTGTTTCTATTATAAAATTTTGCAAACAAGTAAATTTTCTCCTTCCCTGATGTGCATTGATAAGGCTGCACTGATAGGCAGCACTGATGGGCATTGATAGGCAGCACTGATAGGCACTGATGAGCACTGACTTGCGGCACTGATGGGCGACACTAATGAGGCATCAGTGAGAATTGTTGAGGAGGCATTGGTGATCCTACACCGATATGCAGCACTGATGGGCACTTATAGGCGGCAATGATGGACAATGACTGGCTACACTGAATGATGGCACTGATGGGTGGCACGGATGGGTGGCACAGATGGGCACTTTTGGGGCTGCATGGATTATCAGGGACTGTGACAGCATGAGGAAGGTGTTGCTGATAACCGGCAACTGTATTTGCTTTTTGGTCATTGGACATAGCTGATCATGTGGGTAAAAGGCCGCTGTGATTGTCCTTTTACCTTGTCATGTGATCAGCTGTGTCCGTAGTGCGTGCTGCTAGGGGCACGTTCTGGGAGGACATCATATGACGCCCTCCCAGAACTGGACAATTGTGCTGTAGCCATCATTGGGCCATAGCCCAGTTGTCAATTGTTGCATTTCCACTTCTGCAGCCAAATTGGGATAACACTTACTTTATATTTTTACATGTTCCCATTCACATAGCTTAACTTAAAAAAATTCTGCTTACATTTTAAGTCTTTTTTGCTTGTTGAAAACTCTTAGTTAGGTTTCTCTTTTATATAAAGCTAAGGATGGGCTGCGTGAAGTTATGTTTACCATTAATAACCCTGTCTGTACTGTGCTTCTGATTTCATTATCAGTTGTAAACTAGATTTGCACATTGTCTTTTCTAACAAAAGATTAAAGATTTCAAGGAGTGGGTTCTGCATTGTATCTTAATGTACTTTACAAAAGAGAAAAAAAATGGTCCCTGTTTCTTATATCTGTACATTGTCCTTTATTCAGGCAACAGACGTTTTGCCTATAGTAACTCTCTCAATGAAATAGCTACAAAGGTAAAGTCAACCATGGAAAATCACTTGATCTGCCCATGTACACAGTCAGTGTTGATGGGGAATCCCTCCTGTGGAGTCATTGTGTTCTCACCTTTTCCAGTAAAGTAGGGAAGGGTTAGAACCATCAGGTCAATATTACCCTCTGAGCCTTCCACTCTTCTCATTTTTTGTCCTGCTGTCACAGTGGCAGTAGGTGAGATGAAATCTCTCCTAAGAGGGTCATTGAAAGCAATAAAACCTGAGAGAAGGATTAACTCTTTATAAGTCTATTCAAACTAAAAGAAAATGTTCTGGCTGGTGTTCCACTTTAAGACAACAGTAAATTATGACAGTGCTAGGCAGAGAAATGAGGAATGACAGATGACATCCAGAGTGACATCTATTCTTTGATTTGCTCTGGAGGTGGATATATGTGAATAAAGGTTAGTGTACATCAGTTTCAGACCTGCATATAAGATCAGTCTGACATCACTTTGCTGTCAGTTAAGAACACATTGTAGAAGCACAGACTTGTTTGGAGGAATTAAAATAAGGCAACACAATGTATGGCAAAAAGCAGTAGTGTACACTGATTCTCAAAATCCATTCCAGATCTCAAATTCCTCATTCCACACCTATCATGTGTCAGAACCTGTGTACACTAGTCCTAAAGCAGGCTTTATAATTATCTACTCAATGCTTATTGAATGATTATGGATGAGGATCAGGACTTATAATCACAGGCATTTGTTGGCATCCCAGCTGCTTTTTTTTTTTCTCTCTATAAAATCAACTCAAAGTGGCTCCAACAACTCATAAGTAGCTTGAAAGCAAATCAAAATATCTTACAAACAAGTCAGGAGTACCTTATAATATATGCTGTCTGACTTGCTTCTGAGACAGAGACCTGTGTACACGAGCCCTAAAGCTGCATGCACACTGGGTGATTGCTTTTCTCCTCTGAAAGCCAGAACTCCTGGCAGGAGAAAAGCGGTTATATAAATGCATCTAAAGCCATGTTTTGCATGTTCATTTAGGCACATCAAGCATTTGAGCAATTTTTTTTTCAAGTCCGCAAACGTGCAAACTACAACGAAAAACCCGTAAGTGATCACAAAAAAAGTGCAAGTGCGAACACCACACGAAAAAGTGCACTTAGGGGTGTGTTTGTCCTACCCCCGAAGGGGTTGAACCGTTACCCTGATCCCCCGGGGCACGAAGCTCCTGACAGGGACAAGGTTCCCATTTGGTCCTCCTGGCCAAAAGGCCTGGTGGACCACCGTTCCTTATGCCCAGCCGAAGCCGGACATCCAGTACTAGGTCAGGGGGTTCTCCCGAAGAGAAAACCCCCTAGGGATCAGGGGAGGAAGGAACCAAAAGGCCACATATCCTCCCCCTAGACTTCAGGGTAGGCCCGAGGACCCACACCCTCCATCCGTGAAAAAACACACACATAAGTAAAGCATTTGAGCAATAATGGATGCCACTGGCCAGAACAAGAATTTATTCTGGCCACTGGAATACATTAATGCTAAAATGCTCCTTAAACGCGTGTACATGGACACGGGGAGATTTACTAAAAGTCAAAATCTGGTGTAGCTCTGCATGGTAGCCAATCGGCTTCTAACTTCAGCTTGTTCAACTTTAAACTTTTAACTACTTTTGTTAAACTTTGACAATAAAACCTGGAAGCTGACTGGTTTCTATACAGAGATGCACCAGATTTTGTGTACTCCAGTTTCAGTAAATCCCCTCCATAAGCTAACACAAAGGTACTTTTACAGGCTAAAAAAAACAAAAACAAATGCTTGTAAAAGCAGACATTTTTTAATACTTTAAAATTTTTAAAACTTTAAAAATTTTAAAGGTTTTGGCCATACTTTTAATGTGTACACAAGGCCTTACAGTTACAACTGGCTATGATTGCAAGTATTTATTATTTTTCTTCCCTGGTAGCACCTACTTAAAAGAGAAGAACAGCCAGAGCTGGTTTGGCTGTACTTCTCCTGTGGATCACAGGAGTGGAGTTCGTTCTGCACTCCTGTGACCTGTTTTCAGCCAACAGCGATGTAATGTCCACGGTCGGCTGATGTCGCTCAGGCGGTCCAGGCTGGGGAAAGATCCTAACTATATCGTCGGGATCCACCCAGAAGTCTGGACCAGTACCTGGCTCAGACTCTCAGCAATCCGCTGAGAGCGAGAGCCTGAGCCAGGTACTAATGCCCTCTCCACAGCCCTGCGCTCCAGTGCTCAGAGCGGCAGAGAGAACTGAGTGATCAGTGGTGTCTGATCACTCAGTTCTCACCCTTAGAACCACTGGGGGAAAGATGCAGTGTCAGATCGATACTGCATCCACCTAGCTAAGTACAATAAAAAAAAAAAAGAATTCTCACACTACTCTTTTAGTGTTTAATTTTTTTTCTCTAGTATTTATCTTACGCAAACAAAGATTAGTGGAGTTGTTTGTAGAACTTCTAATTCACTTTTTTTTCAATCTATTGTAAAGGACAACAGTGATGATATCAGAAAACACATTCCTCTGATGCAGCTTTAACCATTTCCTATTCACTTCTCTAAGCTCTGCAATATAGGTTTTTTTTTCTTCGCTCTTAGGAAGTGAATAGGAGGCTGCGTTCTATTTGTGGTTATTCACATAGAGCATGATTAACACCAGACTAAACCTGTCTTCTACCGCTGTGGCCCCCAGTAGGATGAGGTTCTGCTCAATCTGTTCATATGCCTCTGCCAGCTTCTTCTCTCTGTCTTGTAGGGCCAGCTGTGCTCTCTTTAGAAGCTTATCCACTTCTGCGTATTCCTCCTGTGTAAACCTCTTATAGGCAACGCACAAAGTCCTCAGACCTTCCTGTAATAGGGAAATGTCACTTGTAAAAATGCTGGGAATCTTGTGCCTGTTCATAATAAAACATGTTCACACCACATCCTGCTTCAGTCTAGTAAACTCATTCAATAAAACATACGTTCATTCAGGTTATAATCCTTCTTGGACACTGTATCAGCAGGGGTTATTTTTCTCTTTTACACATTAATAAAACATGATTTATTGGCAGTATTAATGGGCAGCTCTAGCAAACAGCTAAATACACAGGTGAGACACGTACATTGGGAGTTTTATCTGCCAAATGATTTGTAAATATATACAATATACCTATATCTAGCTGACCCTGTTGTGGCTGCATAGCAAACGGGGGTAGAACTTTTCAGGATCTACAGTCTAGCAAACTTTATGCCACTCCCGCCAACTTCATTCCATTATGTGTATTACTACTGGAAATCATACATGCCCTAAACTCAGCTTCATAAAGTGACTCTGTATATTCTTTTGAAAATAATAGTTAAAATGTCTGCAAAAGAATTAATATTACCTGTCCCACTGCCTGCCTGACAATCCCTCTGATTGGGCTAATGTTGATGAACATTCTTATCAAATGTTATGTTTGCTATTTAACCACTTGACCTCCGGAAGATTTACCCCCCCCCCTCCTGACCATGCCAATTTTTGCAATACGGCACTGCGTTACTTTAAATGACAATTGTGCAATGCTGCACATAAATGAAATTTATGTCATTCCCCCCCCCCCCCCCCCCCCACACAAATAGAGCTTTTTTTTGGTGGTATTTGATAATCTCTGTGTTTTTTACTTTTTGCATTAAAAACTAACAATTTTGAAAAAAAAAAAAAAAAAAACTCCAATGTTTTTTATTCTCTGCTATAAAACATATCCAATGAAAAATTTTTAAAAATCACATTTCTTCATAAGTTTAGGCCAAAATGTATTCTGCTACATATTTTTGGTAAAACAAAATCCCAATAAGCGTATATAGATTAGTTTGAGCAAAAGTTATAGCGTCTACAAATTATGGGACATATACTGGAATTTTTTCTTTTACTAGTAATGGCGGCAATTGGGGACTTATAGCAGGACTGCAAAATTGCAGCATAAATTTTTAAACTAACACTTTTGTGGGAACCAGTGACACTAATACAGTGAACAGTGCAAAAAAATATGCATTCACACTGTACTAATGACACTGGTTGGGAAGGGGTTAAACATCTAGGGTGATCAAAGGGTTAACTGTCTGCCTAGTTATGTGTTTGGTGTACAGTAGGTGGTGCTTTTACTAGGAAAAGGAAAGGATCGTGTTCCCAGCTTTGCAGGGACACACGATCCTTCACTCCCACCCCCCCTTGTCAGAAGAGAGCTCTGCCTTGTTTACATAGGCAGAGCTCTGTTCTGTGTCCTGCCTGATGATCAGCGGGTGCCGGCAGACATCCGTTCATCGCCACTTGCAGATTGGCTTCTTCTGCGAGTGTTCAGTGCGTGCACCCCCCTATGGCAGAAATGCAAAATTATATATATATATATATATATATATATATATATATATATATATATATACACACACATGCATACACACACATATACATATATACACACACACGCACACATATTTTGCACAGAAGAGCTGCCCTGTAGCAGTATATCTGCTATAGGGTAGACCTTAAGTGGTTAAATTCTAATGTAGGCATTTATGTGGCAAATACAGCATTGGCAAGAAAGGCTGCATTTGACCTGCTTTGCCTGCAGTTCAAATGCACCTTAATAGGACCTGCTGTGTCCAAAGAAATGCAGCACATGTGTACTGCTCAATTAAAGTGTACCCACGGTCAAAATATAAAAAACAACATTTATTTTCTCGTATTTCAATTATTTCTAGCCTATTATTAATCTGAATGATGTTGAAGTTTGTAAACTAACCTTGGGAGGATCCCCACACACTTACTTCCTTGAATTCTGTGACATGTAATCACTATCTTCGGTGAGAAGGAATTGCTGTGTCACAGAATTCACAGGCCCTGCCTTCTGAACTACTGAGAGTAAAACGTTTAGGAGGCAGAGCCAGTACAGGAATTACAGCTTGCAGGCAACAAAGTACCATGGGATATGTAGTCCATAGAAACTGAAAGTAAATGTAGATTGTAAGCTCTAATGAGCAGGGCCCTCTGTTTCCTCTTGTACCAAATTGTATTGTAACTGTAATGTCTACCTTCATTTTGTAAAGTGCTGCGCAAACTGTTGGCGCTATATAAATCCTGTGTAATAATAATAAACTGCAGAGGAGAAGCTGCAAAGCATCCAGGGAATCCAGGAAGTTGTGGAAATAAATGGCCAGCAGACAGGCAGCACTCACGACATGAAGGAGATTGTTTAAGTAAGCTTATATCGGATTATCAAAACCTAATAATTGTTTGTATTGTTATTATATTGCTGATATTATAAAATGAAAAAGTGTATACTGTGACATACAAAATCTGTTGGACTTAAATGGAGTTCTATGGTCAAACACAGGAAAATAATGCCCGTTGACATGAGTCCTGAAAGAGCTACCACTGCTCAAAGGATTTTCTGCATCTAAAATCTTTAGGAGTGTCAGATGCCTGTAGTCTATTATTGACCCTTCCACCAGACCCTAGTAGTTGTATAGTGGTCAGCTGGTGGAATTGTAATGGCAACTTTGGGAAATTCCAGGAAAACTCCGGACACGAACTTGAGGAAAACCAGCTTTTTATTTACCAGCTGGTTGACCTAGCCACACTTGTATCCGCAGGCTAAGTGCCTTGAAAAGCATCTTACATGGTGTATATATCAACAATTATGTCACAATGCATATATTTTCTCTTTAATCTTTGTACCTTTAAAATACATTCTGCGCAGTTTAGGATATAGCCTTTGCAGTTTCACATTTAGATAAAATATCACCAACTGAAAGTTAGGATGTCAGTTGCTAGACTGGAACACATTGTTCCACAGGAAATGAGGGGGAGGAAGTGAGCTGATGACCTGTTTCTGCAAACAGATGCTTTTAGAAATGTTAAAGCTTAAAGGGGAACTCTGCAATATTTGGGTGCTGCCACAGAATCATAATGGTCAGCAGAGAACCAGGCATGCGAAACACCCAGAAGTGTTTAGGAGTGCAGAGGATTTTTGTCAGCTGCACAGAACAAAGATCGGCAGCATAGGCAACAGAACAGGTTACTATTGCTACTGTATTCTTTTGCAAGCACTACTTAGTTTTTTTTTTTTTTCCAGAAATTACAGTCATTTTAAAGCAAACATGTCAGCCATTCCAAATGTTTTAAAGCCCATCTCATATAGAGTGCTGCAATGTGTCTGCCAGTGCCATAGCTAGCCTCTTCTGTACAGCCCCTCTGATCCTGGTTTTACATAACTTTTTTTTTTTTTTTAAATCAGGGTTGTACCCAACTGCAATCCCCCCTGTCCAATGATAATGGAACCATTAAAGATATATACATTAGGCAGGTGAATGGCAGATAGGCAGGGGTTGGCTCTGAAGTCAGGGAAATTGAGCCCTTCATCAAGAGTGGAGCTAGAATTGGTGGGGAGCAGAAAAGAGTTTTCTGTTTAATAAATGTAATAGTAGACGGTTTTAAGTTGTAAACAGTTTCACTTTAGGCCCACCCATGTCCCTTCACTTCTTACACAGTTACATAACTAGTAAGGTTAACAAAAGCCACAAGTCCATCTAGTTCAACCAATTGAAAAATAAATACATATAATAAATGCATAAATAAATAGAAAACCTCCATAGACAGAATCCTACACTCATAGTTAGTCCATAGGAAGGCAAAAAAAATACATGGTCCAATTTGCTTTAGTGGGGAAAAAAATTCTTCTTGATTCCCCAATAGCAAACGGATATTCCCAGGATCAACAGTCTCTTGGACATCAGTTTATAGATCAAGCACTCCAGATACCACTTTGTTTTTATTTGTGGACAGCATAGAGATGAAAGAGAACTTTGTGTTTATTTTTTGTCTCCACATCAGCTAGATTTCCTTGTAATCAGGAAAGAAAGTGATTGGAAATCTCTACAGTGGGGACAACACAATATTTCTTCAGTAAAACAGGTCAGGGTTAGAACTTTTCCCATGTATCTTTCTGTCCCAGTGACAACCACTTCAGTTATCTCTTGTTCTGCTGTCACAGGGACAGAAAAAGAGGAAACATCTTTCTAATAGGGTCACAGACAACATTTTATTCGTCCTGAATCTTTACATTAAATACTGTGTTTTGAGTGGAGTTATTATCATTATATAGGATTTATATAGTGTCAACAGTTTGCACAGCGCTTTACATCATGTTAGATTTTAGGTCACTAAGAACACAGAATCAATTGATTACCACAGCATTGCGTTCCACTCTGGCTCGTATTTGGTCAACTTTCCCTTCCCTGACTCTGGGAAATATAGAAGAATCTGCTCCTTTACAAAACAGGATGATATCACCTGCAGAAACAATCACCGGCTCTTTAGTAATAGTCAAATATAACATTGTGGAGTTTAATTGTTATTCCAAGAATACATCAATAGATTGTTATACATGCAAGTAAAAAAGTATACTACAAATCATCAGATCAAATTAAAATGGACCAGTGCATAAATGTTGTCTTGGTTCCTAGAGAAAATACTGCTATGTGGCCTTTAGGCTTTATGCACATTGTGCATAGAAAATGCTGTCAATGTACATTTGGGCGTTTACAGGCATATTTGTAGATTAGAATTTACAAGCTGAAAGCTGAAAAAAAAAGGAAAAAAGTGCCTTTTGGAAGAGCTTTCTGTGCAGAAAAAAAAAAAAAAAAAAAAAGATTGACACATGCAAAGAAGCTTAAAACGTGGTGTTTAGGTGTGTCAAGCATTTTTAAGTGTCCATTTTTCAGGTGTTTTGGGAAAAAACACTTATAAATGCAAAAGCATGTAAGCGTGCCTGAAAACTTGTACAATGTGCTCCATGGGAAGATTTTTTATGCTGCTTTTTTCTGCCAGCCATTCTGGCTTTTTTTTTTCTGCTGCCTAGTGTACATGGACCCTTAGTGTTGGTCATATCTCAATAGCACTGAATAGAGAACTGGAATAGCATTTTGTTCAGAAAATGTAAAGATTGTTTTGGCATTTTTAGCAGTATGTATCCATCCTAGCAAGATGGTAAAAACTAGTTCTGGATTTAATAAGGCAAGGGCCTTTTATTATGTGCATAATCTATTGCAATATGCAGCAACGGAATCCCCTAGTCTGATTACACTAAACTAAAACCTGATTGGCTACAATGGTTAAAGGAAATCTGTCATTTCACAACTTGTAGGATGCCATTGCTGACTGCCTTGGGACAATGCTAGCTGCCTGGCTATCTCTGGCTTTAGTATTCACTTCCCTAGAACAAGCATGTAACAAAATAAGTCATATCTAGGGCTGAAACTATGAATTGTTGCCTATATGATTTCCTCAGTGCAGGTTTACTTTAACAAACTCTTACATACTCACTACTGTATATATTCCCTTATTGATTTTACATGTATATGTATTTCCTGCTACTCATAACATAAATCCTCACTGGCATGCAAAACTATACAAGAAATGCATTCCACTGTCATACTTCACTGGCCAGCCTTTACAATGGTGGTAGATAGTTACCAACTGCAAGGTCAGACTTTTCTGCTTGTTGGTGTAAAGTGTGCACAGTGTAAATCCTTCAAACAGGTTCAATATATTGAGCTGCTTCCTTCCAACCTATGTATTTATTGTACTCAGGGATTTTTCTTTTTCTGGGGTTTTTCTTTTTCCTCTCTGGCCTTTATACCATTTTGGAGTACTTGATTCATGCTGTTTTTTATTGGATGTTTATTATTTATTACAGGTATTTATATAGTGCCATCAATTTACGCAGCGCGCTTTACATATATATATATATATATTGTACATTCACATCCGTCCCTAACCCTCAAGGAGCGTACAATCTAGGGTCCCTAAATCACATTCATATATACACCTATTAGGGTCAATTTAGACAGGAGCCAATTAACCTACCAGTCTTTGGCATGTGGGAGGTACATGGAGTACCCGGAGGAAACCCTCACAGGCACAGGGAGAACATGCAAACTCCAGGCAGGTTGTCCTGTGGTTGGGATTCAAACCAATGACCCTAGTGACCATAAGCATTTAGTATTTTGTATAGAAGTCTGTGTGGACTCGCAGTAGTGGGTGCAGTCATTCTTTACTAGGTGTGATTCTATTCACTATAAATTACAAATAACTTACTGAAAGTGAGCTATATATATGTCAGCGAATATTGACATTCCTGCAAATGCAGCTTGCCGTTTGGCTGCTTTATTTTATGTGTAAATGCTACATTCACTTTTTGCTGTATGATCAAGAATATTATTAGGTAGAAAATTATTTTTCCAGAAGGATTTTCCACTTTGTAAAATGTAAAAAAAAAAAAAAAAGCTCTGGTAATATTAAGAACAAGGTATACTGAGACATACATCCATCCTGCCAGTGCCAAGGCAACAGAATCTCAACAGTTTTTTTTTTTTCTTCTTTGTCACAACGATGGAGTGCTCTCAAAACCTCCAAAACATCCTTGCTCTACCATATCAAAAACTACTGAGCAGCTCTAAGTGCCTTCTCAGCTCTATAATGGGTATCAGAATCAGTGATTGGGAGAAGATCTATAGGAGATATACCCCAGAACCATAAATAAAGGTTTTGACTTATTGCTAAAACTGTACAACTCATTTAATTCACTTGCATCACAAAACCTACGAATACAAATAACTTATGCAACCCATAGGAAGGTGGCCTCAGTCTAGCTTCTTTTTTATTTGATGAACACATCCCTAAGATGTGAAATTTTGCAATGCTCTTTGTGCAAAGTCTAGCATGCCATTTAGCATTACACAAAGATTTCTTCACTGGTTACTTTCTGTACTGCTAGCTATTATATATTTCACCATTAGCAGGTTTTAATTACTACTTGTGGCAGAAGAGTGTTTACATAACCATAATAAATCACATACAGTTGTGTCCAAAAATTATTCAACCCCCACTGAAATTGAGTGTTTTGGCCAGTTTGACATTGCTTTTGATCATTCAGTCATCTTGCTTACATTTACATTAAAGAGGCACTTGTAGGTCAGACAAATATAACATAACAGTTATAATGAAATAACCACAAATGTCTTTTCTGTGCTCACAGCATTATCAGTTTTATTCAACCCCCAAGTGACATTCAATCTTAGTACTTAGTACAGCATCCTTTTACAGTTATAACAGCTTTTAAACGTGAAGCATAGCTTGACACAAGTGTCTTGCAGCGATCTACGGGTATCTTCGCCCATTCTTCATGGGCAAAGGCCTCCAGTTCAGTCACATTCTTAGGCTTGCGCACTGCAACTGCTTTCTTTAAGTCCCACCAGGTTCTCAATCGGATTTAAGTCTGGTGACTGCGATGGCCACTCCAAAATGTTCCAGCCTTTCCTCTGCAACCATGCTCTAGTGGACTTGGAGGTATGCTTGGGATCATTGTCCTGTTGAAAGGTCCAACGTCTCCCAAGCCTCAGGTGTGTGACGGACTGCATCACGTTTCCATCCAATATCTCCTGGTACTGAAGAGAATTCATGGTACCTTGCACACGCTGAAGCTTCCCTGTACCTGCAGAAGCAAAACAGCCCCAAAGCATGATTGACCCTCCACCATGCTTCACAGTAGGCAAGGTGTTCTTTTCATCATAGGCCTTGTTCTTCCTCCTCCAAACATAGCGTTGATCCATGGGCCCAAACAGTTCTAATTTTGTTTCATCAGTCCACAGAACACTATCCCACAACTTTTGTGGTTTGTCCACATGGCTTTTTGGCATACTGCAGTCGACTCTTCTTATTCTTTGGAGACAGCAAGGGGGTACGCCTGGGAGTTCTGGCACGGAGGCCTTCATTACGCAGTGTGCGTCTTATTGTCTGGGCTGAAACTTCTGTACCCACATCTGACAAATCTTTTCTCAGTTCCTCAGCAGTCACACGGGGACTTCTCTCCACTCTACGCTTCAGGTAGCGCACAGCAGTCGAAGTCAGCATCTTCTTTCTGCCACGACCAGGTAGCGTTTCAACAGTGCCCTTTGCCTTGAATTTGCGAATGATGCTTCCTAAGGTGTCTCTTGGTATGTTTAACATCTTTGCAATCTTCTTATAGCCATTGCCCTTCCTGTGAAGAGAAATCACCTCTTCTCTTGTCTTCCTGGACCATTCTCTTGCCTTCACCATGTTTGTAACCACACCAGTAAATGTCTAGAAGGAGCTGAGTATCACAGTCATTTTAAAGCTGCCTAATTGGTGCTTATTATGCTTGATTGCTGCTCGGTGACATCCACAGGTGTTTTCAATACCTGATGGAAAGCACCTGTATGAACCTCTGTTCTTCAGAGTGGTAGTCTTTAAGGGGTTGAATAATTGTGGCAATGAAGAAACCACATAAGAACCATTTACTACTGTATTACATAAACAATTGATGTCATTTTAGTTGCATTTGGGTAGTTACAACGTCCTTGTAGGATTTGATTCTGAATACAATTCCAAATGTACACTATAGTCCCTAAACCCCTTTACAGCATTGGGGGTTGAATAATTTTGGACACAACTGTAAAGCAAATCTATTTGCAAAATTCAAGAAACAACTTGTATCTATAAAGTGAAAAAAAAACAAAAACAAATCCAGACCTTGTTCAATGTAGGGAGAACAGAGTTTTCATTTTAAGTCTGCAATTATGGTTGCTCAGTGATTTGCATGGCTGCCCTGGTCTTGAGCGTTTATATTGCTAGTAGGCAGTGCTGCCTGCATCCGTAGAGGTATACAAGCAATACACATAGATTCCGTTGTAGAGCTACATGACTAACACATTGTACATTTCACAGTGATGTCACATCCACTCTTATACACCTTTCAGCCTAAGGGCACAGAACTCATCTGAAATTCAAGTTCCCACAGTCATGAAACATGTTTTGTTTCATTCTGAGTTGATATAGTGATTATGTAGACAAGGTATTTGGAACACAAACAGCGGAATAGACAATGATGAATCAAGCAATGTAAGCATGATCTACCTGTGCATGATTTCACTATGACGCTCATACGCCTCCTCACAGAGTCAAAGGTTAAAACTTGAAGCAATTCAAATCTGAAGATACAAAGATACAAAATGGAAAAGAAAAATAAGAATTGACAGCTAAACATAGACACTCAAATATTAACTGTACAGCATTAGCATATTAATAACATATTAAAACTATATCCATACTAACATTGTTATTAGTGGTATTTTGCACATGCCAAGGATGCACTAACTATTGTATTAACATATAAAAATTTGTAAATATTTATTTATACACATAACTATAGATCAAGAATGATTGCATCAATAAAAATGTTCATGACATCATGATATGAGCCTCCATTGACGCTGTGCCTTCAGCTCACATGGCACATAGGTTGCTGCAAAACCCACTGCCTTTACCTTGAAACATGTTTAAATTGTTCAGTTTGAGTAACAGGCTCCCACCTCCATCTCTCTGTGGGCTGCATTCACATTCAACATTTATAGCAGAAGTAAATTTGGATTTTAGGAAGAAGGTCAGCACTACAGCATACACAAAACTCTGAAATTTTGATTCTGAACTCCCTGTTGGGATGCAAATAAAGCCCAAGTATGAGCTGCTGAAGCACTCATGGAGCCCATTTATAATACGTGCAAGTTGAGCAGATTCTGGGACCAAACCCCCCCAGTGTTGCTTGCATCTAGAGCAGATGAGAAGTAGGTAACAGTCTTCATGATGCCCTAACTATACTTTTTGTTTGTAGCATCTACATTTTGTTGGGCAGCAAGCACTTCATTCGCCTACTTTTGAGATATGATGAATGCTTCTCCTATTTCCTATCAAGGGCATTTGAAAATGTAAGTAAAGGGAATGTTCACTACCCCTGTTGCAAGTTAAAAAGTTCAGGTTCTGCAAAGGCTGCTCTTCAATTTCATAAATCTATCTATTTATCTGTGCGTGGGCAGATACTTAAATTGTGGTGGTGTGGAGGGTGGATGCAAACATTTCTCTCAGGGGTGCTTTGATGGTTATATCCATTATTAGAGACACTATAATATAAAAATAAGCACAAACACGAAAGAAGTGTAGTTCACTCAGGTCAGTGGCCAGTTAGCTAGCATGAGAACATATTAATGTCTCCCTGGTAAATGCTTCAGCAGCTTAACCTAGATTCATGAGTTTCTATTTCGGAATGAGCCTGCCATTTAGAGCAATATTCATGGCTCTCTCTGAACACAAGCTATAAAGCCCACATGGATCAGTGCTACAGAGCTAAAGAACTGTAAAATTAGATGTCCACTTACAGCCCTATGTATTTTCATTATCCTTTTTTATTTTCTTTATCAAAGTAAGTAATAAGTCACCGATAATAGATCATTGTGGCTAATCTGCTGACTCAAAATGTACCTTTCAATTTCATTTTCTCTGTTACAAATCTCCATGTAATTGTCCTTTAGTCTTAGATATGTATAGCCAAGTCTATAAAAGAAAAGAAAGGTCACAAAGTCACAATCAGGAGAATCATAATTTAGAACTGTTACATGTATGTAATAAATATAATCATGCAAGTTAATATTTTAATGTCAAATAAAACTTCCACACACAGGTGATCAAGAGAGCTTCACACATCAGAGTCCCTAGTCTCAAGCAGACATCATGGACATCAAGGCAGTACGTCCTCAAGCACACTGGGCATTTTAAAAACGTCAGTAGCGTTAGCTGTACAGAATTACATTAAAAATGCAAGTTGTTCCGCATTTTTTAGCATTTTTGCATTAGCGTTTATCCACGTTTTTTCTGTATTTCCAGTTTTTAGTGTTTTTACACACAAAAAAATAAAAATGTTGCTTAAAAAAAAGCCCCAAAATGCCGGTTTGCCAAGTTTTACCATGTTTCCCAGCATTTGAGCGTTTTTACAGCTAAAAAACTCCTCTAGAATCCTGCTAGTTCAAAAAACACCCCTGTCAAAAAAACGCTGATTAAATTCTATGTGTGCATGGACACATAGAATAACATGTTGTGGAGTTTACTGGCTGAAGAAAAAAAAAATGCTAAAAGCCAAAAACAGAAGCTGTAAAAATGCCCAGTTTACATGAGGGACTAAATGTAGTTTTTGTCCTCTTGGGGGGTAGGATACAAGGGTCAAAGTCGCAGGGCTTTTGTGCACTTTAGAACTGGTCAAGGCAGATCAAAAAACACCCTTAATGTGTCAGGATGGGACAAAGTTATGGAGAATTTACATGCACTAAGTAAGGAAAATGAGGACAACTTAAAAAGTATACAACTTCAAAAGTATACCTATTAGTTAGTCAACGTTTACCATGAAAGTAAATTAAATTAGCAAAAATTGACAAATCAACAAAAATTGGAGCATTTCGAGCTTCTAAAAAAAATGTAAGTTACAATCTAGTTTATTTGCATTGTACAATAACACATAACTGAGGGCAAGGAACCTGAGACCTGCCATCTGATTTACTAAAGTGTGAGGTTATATGGTTTCACTCAAGCTCATTATCTACTTTAGTAAATCTGATATACATTCACTTTACAGTTAATAAATCAGGCCCATCATTTAGAAAAGGGCCCTGTGATTTTAAGGGCAAACTTCTCAGACATACCATTTCTGTAGTTGCCGTTCCCTGTTTTATTTTTGCATGACTTATTGATCCACTATAAAAGTACATAGTGCTCACAATTACACTGCCACCGGTCAACATGTTATGCAACTTCTGATGAAGCTACTTGCCCTCATGTATAAGGCTTACACCATGAAAAGCATTCAGAATTACTGGGAAACTCCTTAAAAAAGTTTCACCAATGATATATTGACACAACTGAGCCAAGTCTCAGATACGTACCTTTGTATACCTTCTACAAGAGCAACTTCATCAGGTGAGGAGGATATGTACACACTGGATTTCCCAGACTGACTGGATTTTTTCTCACCATCTATGTTGTCTTCATCTTTCACCTGTACAGTGTGGCACAGACAGAGGGCACGGAAAAACAGATCTTCTCTTTCCTGGGGTTTTGAACAGGGAGGAAAAGGGTTAAATATTTACTCATTTCTGTGCCCCCTCTCCCACATCCTATATAATAATAATAAAATAAAAAGTAGGAGGACATAGACAGCATAAAAACATTTTTTAAGCACAGTGAGAAATGGGTAGCACTTCTTGTCTAGGTTATGGAATTCAGAAAAAATGAGAAGCAATCTCCCCAATGAAGACATGGCAAGGAAGAACATCTGGTTGAGGTTCTACTCTACCAAAAAAAAATTGGGTTTCTTTTTTTGTTGTGCAATTACAAAAATAAGTGTAAATATAAATACTCAAGGAGCTACTGCACATGCATTTCTAGGAAATAAGGCTAACATGGGATAATATACAATATTATAAATGTATTGCTTAAAGCAGGAAGGATCAAAGCTAATTAGTCACACACTATGACTCGGGCACGGTAACAATACAAAGGACTAGAATATCCAGATTAACATTGTTACATAAATTATTGCTAACAAGCACACATTGCATATTTTTGGCATAGTACTACATATGTATATGGCTTATTAGTTGCTGTAGTACTACTCATAGAATATGGAGAACTGGCTGAACATACAGCTAAGATTTGGTAACTCCTTTGACTGGACTTATGTACATTTTCAGCAATTTTTGGTAGTTAGTACAATGTGGAACCAAACGCACAGTTCAAAGCTGGATAATAGTAAATGGGTCAAGGGCCAAACCTGGCAGAAAATTTTAAAATGCGTGTGGCCAGGCTTTACTTGAATTATTCAATATGTGAACAGTAACTTACCAAAGCAATACCAGGACTACCATAACACTACAGCCTCATATGAGGAAATTCCTATAAATCAAAATTTTGTTCACCATTTTATTGTATATAAAATATGAGTATTTAAAAGCAAACTTACTTTTCCTCCAGCTCCAGGTGAGGAATCAATCATGTCAATGCCCATGCAATCATGAAGGATTTGCCCATTACAGATTACGTGTGGTATGTACACATGACCTTCAATGCAGCACTCAATAAACTCCATATTGTTCTCTGTCAGTGTCCCAGTCTTATCTGTGAATATATATTCTACCTGAAGAGAAAGGAGAATTATACACTGAGGAGAAGGTTAAACTTAAATGTTACATCGTAAAGCACATATAAAATTTTTAATCCTAATAAAATGCTCCACTTGGTAAAGCCAAAGCAAAAAAATAATGCATTTAGATAATATAAGTACCTGAAATAAATAAAAGTTGAAAAATATAAGTAGCTTATCTCTGTGTTACCATACAAACTTTAATATTTCACTTGGTTGTGTCCAAGTTGTGCTGACTTAGTTTGCAGCAAACTGGCTGGAGAAGTACAGATCACTTCAATCAAATTTGTTTTGTGTAATCTTCTACCTTGAAAGTCTAGCCATTGTTCATCTGGACAGTAAAAACACAAATCACAATGCCTACTCTCAGCTCTGAAATGGTTATCCTGTAAAACTTTACATGGGCATGAAATGATTTGTTTATTTCAGGTGGTTTCATCTGGAACTCATTTCTGGTCTTGCATACACTCTGGTGCACCACTCCAAAGTAACATAAAATGTATGGATTAGAAAACCTATTCTGTTCGCTAATGTTGCACCCTCTCCTGACTCTGGAGTAAGAAGGTCACTGTCTCCCCTTTTGCTCTGCCCAGGAATGAACATAAAGAGTTGAACAACCATTCGTGTTTGTAAGTTATCAGTTTGGAGGCTTGCACATCCAACCACCCCCAATATCTATGGGCACTGAGACAAGTCTTAAAATATTCATGCCAAGGATTAGTCATTGTTGAATGATCCTCTAGCAATTTTGGAAAGATGATGCAATGCTGCATTTATTATTCCATGGAGAAATGCTTTAACATATGCTATCATTTGGATGCAAATGTCAGATGAAATACAAACAAGTTTGATCTCTTAGAAAGAAGCCCTAGAAGACATCAAGTTCATGGAATGTCACAGGTGGCAACTCTTATTGTTGTTAGTGTGTTGCATGGACTTCAGAGTACATGGACTTCATGGACTACAGAGTGTAAGGAATGTTGTATTCACCAAGAACAAGGAGTTTGGGTTTCAGTGGGTGACACTTCAAGCTGATGGTCCTCAGGTTTGCCCCACTGATGTAGTGTCTGTTAACAATATAAAGTGCCAAAATGAAAGACATGTATGTAACCTTTAAAAATCAATGAAAAAGAAATCAGGGCTTCAACGCTTGGGCAAAGTCATAAAACTGGCAGAATGTATGGAGGTTGGTGGACAAAATGAGAAGCAGAATCCAAACACAGAAAATGATCATAACTAGAACAGCAGAAGTTGCAGAACACTGTATTGTACTGTATATTTTGAGCCTATCAATCATAGGTATTCCTATACAATGTCTCCTAAAGCCACTACAGGTGTTTGCAGCAATACCAGCCATAGTTAAACACTGACAGTCATGGAGCCATCTCATGTCATGGAGGAAAAGTTTTTGCCTGACAATGTTGAGCAGAATCCTGCAGTTTCTTATAGTACCACACCAAATTGTTTCCCCCCCTGGCTTGGTTGTAGAGAAGTGACATACTGAAACAATGGGACATTTGGAGAAGTGACTTCATTACTTAAAGGTAGCTGTTTTTACGTGGTGGTTGATGCTAGGGACAGTTAGATATCTTAGATATGAGACTGAGAAGTGTATACTAAAATACCCCAATACACGACAATAAAAGATAAAAGCATGCTTGTTTTGACAGATGATTTTATAAAGCTTGCATGGTAAGTGGATTCTGAATCAATGCTTGAAATTACTTTAGAATTTAAAGTGAACCTATTTTTAAAATGTAAACTTCAAATAAACAATCCAAATGCCATACTGTATAACATAAATAATTAATATTTCTATTTTGAGTCAAAGTAATGCCCTATTCTTGGTATGATTGAACAATACACTCCTGAGCTCCCACATATGACCTAAAGCCTGGAGAAACCACACATCACTACCGTGAAGCTCTGCTAGGAAGTAAAGGAGCATGCATAATCACAAATACAACTGCCCAGTATATATTTATAGGTACAAAATATAGATCTAAAAACAAACTAAAAGCTAGAATTCTCTTTTAGGCTTTGAATATCCAACAAATAAGCAATTGTACATTTTCTTGTACACTGAATCCTGCTTGATTTATACATTTGGTCACCTTTTAGAGTGCTCCCAAACTCATCACACACATTATGATGTCTCCCAATGGCAAAATATGTGGGAAGCAAAAAGATTCTGATAGTGCAGATCATTCTCACAATTTTTATTGAGAAAAAAAACAATCACATTTTAGCAGATAAAACAAGGCATGTCACATCCATATTCCAATATATGGCATCCAGACTCCGCTCTCCTGGATGACCCCACTGCTAGCCTAGCCTGTTTTATCTGCTAATATGTGAGTGGTTTTTTTAACCATTTTCAATAAAAATCATGAGAACGATCTGCAAAAATCATGAGAACAATCAGTGTTATTTTGCTTCCCACATATTATTTTGCCAGTGGGAGACAGTCTGAGGAAAGAGGAAGACTGGGAGAGGAGTTACGGTCGTGCACATGTAAAAGTGCAGCTTGTCTCCTTTTATCAGTGGGGGTCCAACAATTAAAGTGGTTCTAAAGGCTCATGGTTTTTTTTATCCAATACTCACCTAAGCTCCCTCTTGATCCAGTGATGTGCACTGGAGTCTCGGCTTGCCTGTGACTCCCTCTTCTCATTGGCTGAGACAGAAGCGGGAGTCATTGGCTCCCACTGCTGTCAATCACAGCCAGTGAGCCAATGAGAAAAGAGAGGTGGCAGGGCCAAGCCTCGGTTTTATGTGTGAATGGACCCACAGAGCAGAGGGTGCCCCCATAGCAAGCTGCTTGATGTGGGGGCACCTGACAGGAGGGGGGAGCCAGGAGCGCTGGCTGGGAATCCGAGAAGAGGAAGACCCATAAGGATACCCATAAGGTAGGGTGAAGGGCACACTGGTGTACATGGTGTGAAAACTGGAGCTTCTTTGCACTGTCCAAAGATTGACTTAACTGCAATAGGAGATTGCACAAAAATTGAGTGGAGTAGGGGACTCACTTTATTTACGGATTTTGATTTAGAATTTTTATCTACCACTGTTGCACTTTATATTGACTTTGGAATAAATATATTTAATATCACTGTGACATATGGATTGATTATGTTATTATTTATTTAATGATTAACATGATTAAGAGCACATTCTTTTTGGTTCAATATAGATGTATTGAGATTTGATCCACTCATTGATTTATCATATTTTAAGGGGACACTCCCCGAAAGCTTGTCCTCAAAATTGTTTGTTAGTGCAAATAAAAAAAGTATCACGCACAGTACTCGATTGTTCATATCTTAACATTTTTTACAAAAATATATAGATAGTGTTTATAATTTATTGATTTGGGTCTTGCACTGATAGCACTTCACTGTTTGTAATATTTTTTCTGTTGTAGTGTGATGAGTGCACATTTTGTAGTGATAGCTGTTTTCTGATTATTTATCTTTATTTTTTTTTTATTTTTGAATAGCACATAAGGTTTTTATTATATATTCATGAACACAACAACTTTTTTCTTCCTAATAAGCATTTAATGCATCATTCTCATATTATATTCTCATATAAATTAAAATATCTTGTTCATTTGCAGAAGAAAAAAAAAAAAGAAAAAAAAAAAAAGACTGAGGCATTTGTTCAATTACTGTGCATTTGAAATTGGAAAGGCCTACTATTAGCAGCTAAAGCAATTAGCAACAGTGCATTTATAAGAAAGAATCCAAACAGAAGGTGCTAATTATTCCCACACATTCATCTCCTCCCTGATAGCCAGGTCCCTGTAGTTTTTACAAACAATACACATACTGGTAAATAAACACCAGCTGGCTTTCATGTCATGGCTATGGATTCACATGTGAACACAGATGTGAACGTTCTGCTAACCTGGTCATGTGGAGCTCAACAACTCACCGCAATGGCCAGTAAAGTTTAAAATAAAAAGGCAGCACTTTCAGTTATTCACAAACACATAACAAATACTGAACCTAATAAACACCACCTAATGTAAAACAAAGGTATTATATATATCCGTGAACTCCAAACTGTGGCCTGATGTAGCCCTGGCCCTTCTCTTGCCCTAATCTGGCCTTTGGAAACCATTTCATCCACTGACTCCAACAGCAGGGCTCTATTCTTCCCACTGACACCAACGATGGGGCACTATTTCTGCCACTGACACCAGTGATGGTGACTATTGCTCCCAATGACAGCAATGATGGGGAGTATTCCTCCCACTGACTCCAATGATGAGGCTCGAATCCTCCCACTGATAAGGAAGGGGCACTATTCCACTGACACCAATGATGGGGCATAATTAATCCCACCATACTCTACTACTGTTCAATAATATGATAAAAGTTATTTTTCCAACTCCATCCTAGGTGTTTTATCAGTTATTACAATTGCACCATGTGCTACAAGCCCAATTTTCCCCAGCTGTAGTGTCCTTTTTTTATTTCTCCCACTGACACCACATGATTGATGGGGCACTATTCCTGCACTTATACCAACAATGGGGCACTCCTCCCACTGATGGGAATGATGGGGCATTATTCCTCCCCCTGATAAGAATGATGGGGTTACTATTCCTCCTCCTTATAGAATGATGGAGCACCGACACCAGTGATGGTCATAATTCCTCCCACTGACACCAGTGATGGTCATAATTCCTCCCACTGACACTGTCATAACACCACTGACACCAATGATGGTCAAAATTCCTCTCACTGATACAAACGAAGGGGTGCTATTCCTTCCATAACACCGAAGATGAGGCATTTTCTACTACCACTAGCTGCAGTCCGGCCCTCCATATATCTGAAGGACCATAAACTGAACCTTTATTTGGTACTTTTGAAGACCCCTGATATATACAATATTGTACTCAATAAAGTGTCTCTAAACACAAG